TCCAGGGTAGAAGCAGGCAGCTTTGCCCGATGCCGAACCCACCATCCCGTCCTCCCGAAATCCTCAGCGAGTCGGGAAAACCCTCCCCCTTTCCTTCCCTATTCCAGCTCCGGAGGGCAACTCACCCGCTGCAGGACACACAAGGCAGGTAGCGCTTCGCGCATCTCTCCGCTGGCGTCTCCTCTGCTGCTTTGCAGCAGAGAGAAAGAGAAAAAGAGAAAAAGAGGAGGGAGGGAGGGAAGCATCAAAGCACCTTCTTCACTCCGCCCCTCCGTTCTTATTGCGGAGGCTGAAGAACTACCGGGGAGTTCAGTGTTCGTTTATCTGGTCAAATGGCCAGCAAATTTAAAATAATGTTTGGAATGAAATGGATGGGGCATATATAAAAGACAAAGTACAAAATATTATTTACAGCCATGTGTCCACTAGCGGGCTAATGCATTAACTATCCCAGTCGTGACACCTTTAAAAATTAAAGAAAAGTCTATGATAAAGCACCTGAAGGCAGGACAAGAAGCAACGGAAGGTCCCTTCCAACTTTATTATTATTATCAATCATCGCACAGTCAGCCAGATGTTCAGACTGGATTTGGCATTTTGTCTACCTATCGAGTCCTTACCCAGGACCTGGGATAGGCAGATGTGGATGTTTGATGGTATTACAGATATCGTCGCAGGATGGAAGCAGTTCCTAATAAGGCCGCCTTTTGCAATTGACTAATAGCGAATTTGTCAATGCCAATGGTGTTCAAGTGGTGCTCCAGTTGTTTTGGGATTGCACCCAAGGAGCCTATGACTATTGGTACTACCCTTGCTTGCTTTTGCCACAGTCTTTCTATTTCTATTTGTAGGTCTTTGTATTTTGTTATCTTCTCCAGTTCTTTCTCTTCTATTCTGCTATCTCCAGGCACTGCCACATCCACTATCCAGACTTTTTTGTCTTTCTTATCGACAATTGTTAAGTCTGGGGTGTTATGTTGCAGGTGCTTGTCTGTTTGAATTCTGAAGTCCCAGAGCAGTTTAATTTTATCATTTTCTATGACTTTCTCTATTTTATGATCCCACCAGTTTTTGCTTACAGGCAAATGATATTTTTTGCAGATCTTCCAATGCACCATTGTTGTTGTTGTTGTTATTATTATTACTATTATTATTATTTAGAGTACATATTGCCTAGCAGCTTATTATTAAAAAAAAAATAAGTATCCGAAACTGGTATTTGGGTAAGCAGCCTGCAGAAGAAAGCACAGCGAAAATCAGGACCTAAATGTTGGGTGAGATTCTGCCCAGGACGATAGATATTGGCTGAAACTATTTCCCTGCTGAAAGGATCCCCTCTTCCCTCTAGGTTGCTCCAGAGTAGCTGTTCTCCTCCTTCTTCTCCTCTTCCTCCTTCCCCCTCTCCCTCTCCACCTCCCCGTCCTCCCCCCCCCATGTTTCCAGAATTGACATGAAGAACCATCACAGACTAGAAAGGAATTTAGAAAGCAGCAACCTGTTTAACAGTTCTCAATTCCTAGCTTTGCTTTCTTATTTTCCACTGAAGAACCATTTACTTTATGCCAGCTATGAGAGTGGGGTAACTCCACCAGCTGATTGTTCCTTTTCCACCGTCTGACACATAATTCCCCCGTCCTCCCCCAGGGGTGTTCTCCAGGGGAATGCAGCCCTCAACAAAACAAATCAAAACAAAATTCTAAGCAAAACAAAAGTTAAGGGATAGAAGATTTAGGGAGAAGATGGCGTCAGCTGTGCACTTGTCATAGAGCTGGATGTTTAGTCATTTGTAATGCATGCAGTTGGAGGGGGCAAACAGAAAGGAAGAAGCTATGTCACAGGTTGAACAAATATTCTCTACATTTTGTGGAGGGTGAACACTTCGTGGGATCGCCCACGGTAAAATTGCTTTCTGAATTTGGTGCCACTGAATTTTATTTAGATAACATCAACAAGTCACATGATTTGCCAGTTTCATCAGCTTATCACATACGCACATATATACATTTCACAAGTCTCTTCACACTTAACCCCTATTTGATTCATAAAAATAAAGTGGGAATAAAAAATTTACAGCACAGGGATTTTAGGTGGAGCTTAACTTCTACTTACGCATCCACACAGGGGTTTTTGTTGACAACAATACAGAAGAGTTTTGTCCTTGGCTTTTTCCAGGATGTTTTCCCACTTTAGAGCTCTGGCATTCCCTGAATTTCCATTCAACCACCCTCCACTGATTACCAGAGACCCTAGAGAAAGTTAGCTACGTACTATTTTACTTTGAGGCACTGAAATATGAATATTTTCATGCATTTCAGCATTGGGAAGAGTCTTATGCCAATGCAATCCACTCCATGGGTGAGTAAACAAACAGTCAAAAACCAAAGGACTGTTGGGCCAACTTAATATAAGAAATTCCTTGCAAAAACTGATCAAGATTTAAATTAATCCATAACTATTCCTCAACCAAAGACTGCCAGATGCCTGTGAAAAGGAACCTTGCAATCAAGGAAACATGGTCTCTTTTTTTCTTGCTGTTTAACCTCAGCAAATATGTGGGCACCCTGGTTATTTATTTATATTGGTTAAATTGATATCCTGGCTTTCCTCTAGTCTAGGTCTAGGAGCAAAAACTGGCATATATAGGCACCCCTTCCCTTCTGAGCTGAGAGAATGACAGCCTTAATGCCACACAGTGATTTTCCTTGGCTGAGGGTGGAGTTGGGATTGGCTCTCCCTTGATCTTAGTCCAATACTTTAATCACAACACATTTATTTTTAGCAGGTTAGTTTGTGCTTCTAGGGAGGAGTGAAATGGTCAAAATTGAGTTTCTCACTTATTGTCAAGGTTCTCTTATTTTGGTAACTGTTGATTAAAATTCTTAATTCTCTGGTTTTGGTAACTTAATATTGGCTAAAATTTATATTTTTCTGTACATTTTTTCAAGCATATTGTCCAAAAAAACCCACCCCTAAATACAGTCTTTGCAGTCATCCATAAGCAATGCAATGCAATATAAAATACTAGGTGCAGAATTTTATTATTTTTGATTGACAGTTTGCAAATGTTGAAGGATAACTGACTTTAACTTGGTATATTGGTTTAAAAATCTGAATCTGGAAATTGTTGCATTTTGGTGCAAAGCAAACAAAACTATCTTCATTTATGTTATTTGCTCCCAATAAATGTCCTGTTATCTCTTTTCTATTGACTACAGATCAAACCGGTCAGTCCTAGAGGAGATCTACCCTGACTACTCTTTAGAAGGCCAGATCCTGAAGTTGAAACTCAAGTACTTTGGCCACCTAATGAGAAGGAAGGACTCACTGGAGAAGGATCTAATGCTGGGAAAGATTGAGGGCAATAGAAGAAGGTGATGACAGAGAATGAGATGGCTGGATGGAGTCACTGAAGCAGTAGGCGTGAGCTTAAATGGACTTCAAAAGATGGTGGAGGCCAGGAAGGCCAGGAGGAATGTTGTCCATGAGGTTGCAATGGGTTGGACACAACTTTGCAATTAACAAAAACAGATTTTCTAGAGTAGTTAAATGGTATATTTCTTCCTGATAGATGCCGATCACTAAGACAAAAAGATATTTAGTTTTTGCACCCTCCCCTACATCCCTCTCACCACTTTAGGCACCTCAGAAAAAGAAGGATGGGAATGGTATTATGGTGGGTGAATGAATCTTATCCTTATCCCAGAGGCAAAAACCACCTAGGAAATTTCTATTCTATAACAATATTTTTCCTTGGAAGATGTCACCATAAAGAAAAATTGGTGTATTGTGAAAAACAAACAAGCAAACTAACTATATTATGTATTTTGACAGGAAATGGAGAGAATGAAAGAATAAACTCTGTTTCTTACATCTATAAGAAAAAAGGGTTTGTTACATGTAATTTTCCTCTGTTTTTAAAAAGTTACTGAAAACATAGAGTCTGTTATTAGCCTACAGAGACAGCAAGTTATATATAGGTAGTCCTCGACATAAGATCACAAATGGTCATAAGTCACTGTTTTCAGTGCTGTTGTAACTTTGAACGGTCACTAAATGAACTGTTGTAAGTTGAGGACTATCTGTACAATACAGTGGGTCAGCCCGCTTAAGCACTGATGTATCTGCTTCCCAGGTTTTGCTGGTGTTGACCTCAGGATGAAGTGACTGCTGAAGATTTCGGCCTGTATTAGCAAACGTAGTGGAAATTGTGTGAAAGCGTGGTTGTATAAATATTTCCATTCCCTTTTGGTTTTCTTTTTCCAACTTTCTTGATCTTTAGTTTTGCATTGCCAATTTCATTTTCTTCAAAAGTGACACTAATAAGAAGTGAACAATCCATTCCCATAAAATACGCTCACACAACGATTTTTTTTGCTACACCGCAATATATGAATTCAGTATTCTCAGAAGACGGCACTTTCTGTATTGCTTTCCTGTAACATGATTAGACTCTGATGTATTTATGAACAAAGCAACCTATTATCCTAAATTCTCAAAAAAAAAAAAAAAAAAAAAAGATTTTGGTTCCACCGTCCCAATGCCTACTCCCCCTCCCCTCCCTTCTTATGACCCTGTAATCCCTTAATTTGGGGTAGACTTGGGCAATTGGGTGAAGTTGAGCATTTTAAACATAAACTAATCTATTCAGTACTCTCCCTGCCAGGTATCCAGATGCTTATAAAAGAATAAATTTTATAATTGCCAAATCTGGATGATCCAGATATAAGATAAAATTCTAGATGATCAAAAGATGAGACAGAGCACTATTTTTTTTGTTGCCACATCTATTGATTGTGGGGATCTGGGCAACCCATATATAACAGGCTACTCTAACAAATTCCAGAAGAGTAGCTATATTAGTTTGATACAAGAGAAATAAAAAGCTAGTTTGTAGAATGTTAAAAACTAATGGATTGTAACATTTCTCCCTCTCCCTCTCCCCCCCCCCCGTGTGTAATAGGCTCTCTTCATAAGAGTCTTAGTTGAAGTTGAGGATAAAATTGAAACTTGGAGATGGAGTTTAATTCACAAACTTTCACAGGCAGGATTATATATCTGAATATACATAGTAAGCAACAGTATCAATTAATACAAGGTCCCTACCTCATCTTAAACCTGGGGCCTGTTTTCAGCTTTCTGTAATGTGTGATATATCTGCGATGGTGGTTTCTAAAGCATGGTTTATCTATTATGTGTGAAGCAATATGTTTTGTTCTGTAAAACATTGTTAAGAGTGTGCCTTATGTGTACATGATGTGTGAATCCAAGCAATGGGACTTACTTTTGAGAAATCATACGAAACATGTGCTATAAGTTTTTATTAAATCATAAAAATACCCTCTTTTTCTTGTGATATAAGGAGAATTTATCTAGTCTGAGATACGTATATAAGGATTTTTAAAAATTCCCTAAAGGTAAGTAGCATTAACAATTTGTTTTAACAGAAAAAAAAATCATTCCCAGATTGTAAGAAGACTGACATGCCTTCTTATTTTATGGATTTAAAGTTTCAAAAAGAAAAGAATGACAGAAAAGATATTCTATTACTTTCATTTTCTCCCTGTTAATGCCTGGCTGTTGTGGTTTTCTTACTATTTCCTCCCTGCATCAGCAGCTACTAATTTTAGGTTCTAGAGAGGTATTTAGGTATTTCCATTTCTAGGAAGCCATTCATATTTTTCAGTATTTTCGAAGGTGACATGTTCCGATGGGATATCTCCAGATTAATGTTAAAGTAGCATTTAACAAATTTTAAAATGAGCTCCTTAATCAATACCTAGCTTTCTTTTAAAAGACCATGAAGCCTGGGTCAGATATTACTACACCATGTATAGAAAAGAGCTCCCCTGGATCATATAAATGCCCATGTAGTCCAACATGTTGCTTTTCCAAATGATTAAGTTCCAAAAGGAAGCTATCACATAGAATTATTTCCACTCATGTATCCAAGAACTGGTATTCAGTGCTCTTAACCTCAAATTCTAGAAATAGCAATTGTGTCTAGCAGCCCTCCACCAATATGTCTTCCATCGGTCTGCTTAATTTCCTTTTAAAGCCCTCTAGGTTGGTAGCCATCAAGATATTCTGAAAAAGCTAATTCATAGTTCAACTATGCATCATGTGTTTTGCTGTTTTGCTGTTCCATATCCCTTTTCCAGTATCCCTGGCTTTTTGTATTATAAGAGAAAACAATAGCATCATCTCTGTCCATTTTCTCTACTTTATAATTGTCTATAATTCTAAAATATCTCTTATAAACCATTATTTTTTTTTCTAATTTGGACAGTGAGTTTTTGCAGTCTCCTTTCCTCCAGCCTTTTGGGATGTTCAGCACAATGTTTGCAACTGGGCACCCAGAGTTACATACATTATTCCACATATGGTCACACTGTAGATTTCTTTGGCATGGTGCAAACATGCTTCCTTATTGTTGCACCAATGTTACCAAAAAGTTTGCACCTCCTTGTCCTTTGAGGGAGTGCAGTGATGATTGGAAGAATGGGATCCATGTCATTGAGGTTAAGAGAACTCCTAAGATGACAATAAGAGCAGTTTGCTCTTTCATCCACAGAGAAGGAATAGCCACTTAAGCAATTCTCAGTAGCTTTTCAAAGCAAGGCCAAATTGGCCCAGAGGAGTGGCATGTGTCATCTCCTGAAACTTCAAGACTAAGCTTGACTCCTTGGTTTGCCTTAGTAGGATGCAGTTCAGCTTGACTAGAGTCCTTATTACAGATGAGAATGAAAGGATACATAATGGTTCATTTCCCACTGCTAGTGAATAGTTCCAATAAAAGTGAATATCTGTAGCTCAGGGTTGAACTTGGAGTTATAGGTGCTCTCTAAGCTGGTTATTTGCTTGCAGATGTTTTATTACCCAACTAGGTAATATCAGAACTGATGATGTTACCTAGATGGGTAAGGAAACATAATCAATAGCAGTAAATGACTTCTTTGATCCTCAGAGGTTTAAATTTGAGGAGCCTTCCTGCAACCCATTACAAATGATAGATATTTGGCATGGTCTTTGATGACTTCAGAGCCAAGAGGTTACTGTATGTCAGGTTGCTGAAATAACATCTGGATTTGGTCAGATTCTTCTAGCTGCTCCTCATAACTGGGATTTTTCCCTTCATGGTTGATTGTGACCCTGAGGTATATCTTGTACATGCATCCTGTTGCTATGGCTCATTTGTAATACCTCCTTATTCTGCAAAAAGTTGGGCTTCACGTTTTGCAGTTTTATCTTTATAGTCTTGAATTGTAAAGCAACTTTATGATAAATCATTTTGCCTTCTGAGAAGATTATTCAGTTGACTTATGGATCTCTCCTAATTCAATGTATAAACATGAATTAACCTGAGAGATGAAGGCTGAGATTGTGGCTGCGACTTTACTTTTTTCAGTTTTGTTCAAATAATGGAGAACCTTGAGTTACGCTGCTTGAAAATGCAGAGCTTGTGCAAAACGTGTATCCTTTTTCCTCTCTCTTCACTCCTCATAGTAAACAAGTGTTTTGAGGGAAATAAGACATGTTGGTGGGGTCTTCACTTGTTGTTTTTAAGCAAGAGAGTAGACTATCTGGTATTAAAGTCTGCTCTTGAATATCTTCGTCTGAAAGCAGAAACCTCAACTGGTTTGCCTTTTGGGTACTTGGGTCTTCATCTTTTGAGCCAATCCTGCTCTGCCCACTTCCACTATTCCTGAGAATGAGACTGATTTTATCAAATAACGACTTATTTTCACTGGGATCAACAATAGGCCACGCGGGGGCCACAGGACTGGTATAATCTTTCCTTAAATTGTTTATGGGCGAAGCTATTGAACTTGAGTTGGTGCCCCAGTTTTGAAAAGGTGTTTCGCTGGTGGTGCTGAAAGTAGTTCCTAATTGAGCCTTATTAGAAGTCTGAGGTTTGTACCCATTTCTTGCGTCTGAACTGCTGGCGAACGGTACATTTTCTGAAATACTAACTTTCTCAGAAACTGTTTTGCTTCTCCCCTTTTTTTTCTCCACAGCCTTATAGTGGTTCTGCATCAATATTTCTTCAACTTCGGTTACCACAACATCCAAAAATTGCTCGGAAAAATTGTCTGTCACAGCATCGTTTTCCTAAGCAGAAAAATAACATAGAAAGAGTTGAATATTCTAGCAGTCTTGTAGGCATATCATAAAGGTTGGAACACGGAGGTAGCAAACACCTGTTCAGGTAATAGCAGCATCACAGGATTCTGAGTATAGATAGCTTCTGACTTACGACCACAGTTGGGAGTCATTGTAGTCATAAGCTGAGTTGGACCCAATTTTATGGGAGATTTTACAGTGGTTGATCAGTGAATCCTGCATCCCCAAAGGGTCTTTTTTTTGCCATAAATAAGCAAAAAATGTTGCAAATTGTGATTACGTGACTTCAGGATGCTACAACCACCTGTAAATGCGAACTGGTTGCCAAGCAACAAAATGAGATTAGGAGTCCACAGTGGTGATACAGCTGTCATAAGGGCAAGTACAGACTATGTCACTTTCTCCAAGGCCTTGGTAACTTTGAGTCATCATTAAATGAATGATTGTAAGTTGAGGCATTTGAATAACGCTCTCCTCAGATAAGAAAGAGGAGAATGGATATCTGAGTACTTCCTGCTCTCTGGTTTTCTTAAACATTTTAACATTTTAACCTGGAGACTTACCTGGAGATCTTTGATCACTTTGCTGTTCTGCATCCTAGGAAATTCTTCAAAAAGCCATTTTGGTGCTACCGAGCTAACCATTTTGTTAACCCTTGAAACAAAAGCACAACATGTCACTTGCATTTTTAAATGGTAGATGAGAATTCACATTCTTAACAGAGAGAAATATCAAAGTAATTTTCAACACCTATTTTGGCTGCAGACTCTTTGTCTTCAAATATCGATCATCATCACACAGATCTAAACTGGAATTGGGAAAATTAGCAGGAAAGAGCTACTGAGCAACTATTCAACGAATGCTTCTTCTGGCACTCACTTTTATCCTAGAACAGAAGTCTTCAAACTTGGTCCTTTTATGACTTGTGGACTTCAACTCCCGGAATTCCTCAGCCAGCGCCTGGCTGAGGAATTCCAGGAGTTGAAGTCCACAAGTCATAAAAGGGCCAAGTTTGAAGACTCCTGTCCTAGAATGTCCTCTTTTCATGCCTTTCTCTCCATTCACCTTTTTTTTTTGTCTTCAAAGATGATGGGAAGAATATAAAGGGAATGAGAGGAGGTGCTAGGAGGCAAAAGGTTTCTTTTTGAAGTAGCATTCTTCAGCTCAATTGCTTTTCTACATCAAGTTGTTTTGCAAGCTGCTTTCAAGACATGAAGTGGTCACTCACAAGTGCAGACAAAGATCTGTAATTAAGTTCAACTTAACAGCACTCAGGTGCTAACCCTTTCATCAACAATTTACAGATGAAGGAGGTCCCATTAAAATCAAGTGCCAAAATCTACTACCGGTAATCCTTCAGTTATGGCAGTTCACTTAGCGACTTTCGAAGTTTCAACATAATCCCTCCCCCAAGTACTTGCGACACAGTCCCAAAATTATGAATGTTGCGGCACCACAGCAATCATTAACCCTTATGAATGATCGCAGAGGCACTGCAACATTTGCTCTGCCTATTCACTCCCCTGTGCCAGGTCTGTGGATACTCACCATGAGAAGGGCCTGTGGACACTCACCTTGCGAAGATCTAGCGAGCGTTTGGTTTCTTGGCCTGGTTCGGTGCTTCAGGCCTTCGGTGCGTTCATAGAGAATGGAGGCCTAAGGTACCACAAGATCACGCGCTAGATCTCGTGCTACTGATCTCACGTGATCTCATGGTACTTTGGGCCTCTGTTCTCTGCAAACGGAGGCCCAGATGAGAGATCTGTGGCAAAAGGCTTTGCAAACGGAGGGAAGGTGTGAAGCACCGAAGCTTTCCTTTCGTTTGCAAAGCTTTTTGCCATCTTTGTAAAAAGCTTTTGCCACCGAGAACGGAGGCATGTCCCCCTCCCAGCCTACGTTCTCGGCAGCAAAGGCTTTTTACAAAGATGATCAGAGCCTATAGGGACACAATCTTTTTTCCCTGTAGGCCTCGGCAAGCCTTTGCTCAAGGGGAAACTGGGGCAGAGAGGCTGGAGAGGAGACAGCTCCTTGATCATTGAGATCTACATAAGGTAAGTGACCCAGTCAGGCAGGATGCAGGGGAGGGGGATGCATGCAATATCTCAGTGGATTGAGGGAGGCCTTAGGTGGGTGAAAACACTAGGCCTCCCCATGGCCTTCCCCACTCTGAGATACCTCGTGTACTTAACGGCCCACACATTTGATGTGTGATTAGTGAATGTGTGGGTGAAAGCATGGAATGATCATGTTTGAGTTACGTGATTCACTCCTATGAATCCTCGGGTTACGAATGTAATTGGCAGGCTCCATTACAATTGAAACCCAAGGATTACCTGTATAAAAATAATCCTTGTCCTGCTTTAATAAATAAATCAAGACTGATACGAATAGTCCTTGATTTCAGACTGGTCAGTTAGCAACTGACTGAAATTATCATGGACTTTGCCAAAGCTACTTATGACCAGTTTTGAAGTTACAGCTGTGGTGGAGACAGAAGTAGGCCCAATGCCTTAGGGGAGCCCGAAGTATGGAAAGCAAAGGATGAGGTGCCTCCCAAGGCCTCCTGCACTCTCTGACCCCTGCGCTAGGCCTCCCAGGACTTTCCCCACTCCTGAGGCACCCTACGCTCTGCTTAACATCTGTATCAGGGAGAGCAGGTAGGAATTGTTAAGCTGATCATGTGAGTGCCTCCCTTAATGATTGTCATGATTTGTAACTGTAATGGGCAGACTCTGTTATGGCCATAACTTGAGGACTACCTGTATTGGGCCTGTATATTCCCAAATTATGCTCTCAAGAAATGGGTGGTTACATAAATTCGATTAATAAATAAAAAAACTAAACATTCATTAACCAAAGCCTGGGAAAAATAGCAACTGGTACCTTTTCCTGCACGATTTAATTGCAATCAAAGTGAAAACAGAGATTGATAAGAAAGCCACTCCGACACCAGTTCCCAACAGAATCCCAGTATCGTAATCATCATTGCCTGAGAGAGAGAGAAATGGGGGGGGGGGGAAGGGAAGGATCACCACATTCATGCATTGTTAATCAGTTCAGAATAACATAGGCAGGAAAGTGAAATTCTTGGGGTTTTTTTTAAGCAACTGGATAAGTGATATCATCTGCTGGAGAACAGGATAATAGCCACATTCTCCTTGCTCTGATAAATAAGACTCTAGCAAGGCCTTTTGCTTTCCAGCAGCTTTACTACTGTTTCTGGCAGATAAGAAACAGGAGAATAGGGAAAATGCTGGAAGTAAAGAGCAGCTGGATACATGTTTTATTTTCTTTGACAGAGTTCACTTTTTAAACAGTAAACCGTTCAACGCAACACTGCTTGCATTTCTAATTAAAAGATTATGTTTTCAGCTGAACAATTTTTCAGTTGAACAAAGAACAAAACTCAGTAAGCTGTACCCAGATTTATACACAGAACAGAAGCATAATGAGATGTGGCTTCAAATCTGCTTGGGCAATCTACAGCCCACTGTAGATCAGTAGATAAAGATAGTGGATCTTTTTTTCTGCCATGCCAGCTTCTGACTTCCTTTTGCTGTAATAGTGATGTTTTTTGGTGAAGAGCTCAGCGGTACTATCAAATGATGAGGAGGCGGTTTAAACTGTTCCTCATGTTGGATTTGTCATTTCTGGTAATGCCTTAAGGATAGATTCATTCAAATTGTTACATCCCATTTATCTCTATGGTTCTATGTAAGTTGAAACAATATTAGTCAAAGTACACATTATGAATATCATAGAAGTTAACTCCCAAGCAGTTATGTGTACTTATTGTAGTTATTAGAACTTATTAAAAATAAAAGATGCTTACTTTCCTTGATGGTTTTGATTGTCTTTTTTTGAAATTTTGCAATAATATTTTATGATAGAGAGCACCGTTATGAATGTGATCTCTGCAAGGAGGGAATCTAGAGACAGTCACTTGGAAAAAAAGCAAGTGAAATGTTTTAATAAACTAAGTTGTCTTGTTCTCTTTCATGAGTTTCTGGTCTTTGTTCAGTAATTGATTTCCAAGGATAGTTCTACTGTACTATAGTAGTTATTTATTAAATTACATTGTTGTTGTTAATTGCGAAGTCGTGTCCGACCCATCGCGACCCCATGGACAACGTTCCTCCAGGTCTTCCTATCCTCTACCATCTTCTGGAGTCCATTTAAATTCACACCTACTGCTTCAGTGACTCCATCCAGCCATCTCATTCTCTGTCGTCCCCTTCTTCTATTGCCCTCAATCTTTCCCAGCATTAGGCTCTTCTCCAGTGAATCCTTCCTTCTCATTAGGTGGCCAAAGTACTTGAGTTTCAACTTCAGGATCTGGCCTTCTAAAGAGCAGTCGGGGTTGATCTCTTCTAGGACTGACCGGTTTGAACGCCTTGCAGTCCAAGGGACTCGCAGGAGTCTTCTCCAGCACCATAGTTCAAAGGCCTCAATTCTTTGGCGCTCAGCCTTTCTTATGGTCCAACTTTCACAGCCATACATTGCAACTGGGAAAACCATGGCCTGGACTATACGCACTTTTGTTGGCAGGGTGATGTCTCTGCTTTTTAGAATGCTGTCTAGATTTGCCATAGCTTTCCTCCCCAGGAGCAAGCGTCTTTTAATTTCTTGGCTGCACTTACATGCAGTGGTATAAATTTGTGCTTTTTATGATTTCCATCCATCCAAGGATGTGAACAGGGAAAAGGCGATCCCATGATCGCCTGGAACATTACAGCCATCATAAATACATGCCAGTTGCCAAGCCTCTGAATTTTGATCACGTGACCATGGGGATGCTGCAATGGCCATAAGTGTGAAAAACAGTCATAAGTCATTTTTTAAAGTAATTTGAGGACTATCTGTACGTGGAACATTATAGTAAAAAACGATAGGCAAAGATGCCTTCCAATGGTCTGGGTTTTCCTAGTCTTGAGAAATGCTTCATAGCCCTTACTTATGCTGACCATCTCATGTCCAGTTTTTAATCCCTCAAGGTTCCTGTGCAGCTGTTCATATGGAAGGTTATGGGGAAGGCTAGTTTGCAAATTGCCAGGCAAATGTACATAAAGTGTGTGTCTATGTGGAAGAGCTGGGTGGGCAGGGGGGATGCTACAATCTCGATTCTCTTTACTTTGTGAAGGGGCCCTTGCCAATTCACAGAGCACCATAAACCTGGGTGGGAGGTGGAGGTAGTACGCGTGTAATGATTGGCCAGCCTGAAGCAGAATCAGAACTGCTTGGCTCAGTGAATGGCTAAATCAAAAAGGCTAAATGATTGGCTGAAGAGGCTCCCTTTGAATTCCAGACATGCAAGCTAATACCTTTCTGAAAGGGCTTCAGCTCTTCAAGTAGCGATGGCTGTGTGGAGGACTTCGGGGCTGATTTTATGGTATGTTGTGAATTATTGGAAAATGATACAGCTTTCTGATTTCCTGTAGAACAGAGGTGTCTGACCTTGGCAACTCTTAAGATCTGTGGACTTCAACTCCCAGAATTCCCCAGCCAGCCATGCTGGCTGGGGAATTCTGGGAATTGAAGTCCACAGGTCTTAAGAGTTGCCATGATCGGATACCCCTGCTGTAAAGTAAACCAAGCTAAGAACTCATTTTCTATACAAGAGTTAAGTCGATGACTGACAATTTAAAAGTGGGGGTACCTGTAGATGTATGTTTGTGTGTCTGTATGTATGAAATCCAAATGGTTCCAAGTTGCGAGTAGTCATGGGTTGCGTGTAAGCAATCTGAAGTTTTATTTTCTTGGAATCATGTCAGTGTACAATGTAAACATTTCCTGCCACTTTGAAATGCCATAAGTTGCATAAGCTTTACATTTATAATAATAATGATAGAGTTGGAAGGGACCTTGGAGGTCTTCTAGTCCAATCCCCCATTCAGGCAGAAAACCCTATACCATTTCAGACAAATGGCTGTCCAGTCTCTTCTTAAAAACTTCCAGTATTTGGAGCATTCACAACTTCTGGAGGCAGGTTGTTCCACTGATTAATTGTTCTAATTAATAGGAAATTTCTCCTTAGTTCTAGGTTGCTTCCCTCTTTGGTTAGTTTCCATCCGTTGCTTCTTGTCCTGCCTTCGGGTGCTTTGGAGAATAGCTTGACTCCTGTTCTTTGTGGCAGTCCCTGAGATATTGGAACACTGCTGTCATGTCCTCCCTCATCCTTCTCTTCATTAAACTAGACATACCCAATTCCAGCAACCATTCTTTATATGTTTAAGCCTCCAGACCCCTGATCATCTTTGTTGCTCTTCTCTGCACTCTTTCTAGAGTCTCAACATCTTTTTTACATTGTGGTGACCAAAACTGGATGCAGTATTCCAAGTGTGGTGTTCTGGATCATGTAACCCTGACTAGAGCATGTAGATCTGTATGTTAGAATGTTTGGCATTTGTTGGGTTAAGCGCTGTCTCCTTAAGAGATGGCTTATGGGTAATGTAATTTTAGCTAGTCAGCTATCTCATGTTAACAAGTCTGTGGGAGGAGCCACTAAGCTCATCACAGGATATCCTGGCTACGGGCCAGTTTGGAATGTCTTTGTCTCAGATAAGCATGGGACCATTCCACGCTAGAAGTTGGTATGGAGGAAGTATTAATTTCTTACCTATAAGGATGAACAGATGTACAATATCCAGAAGCAACAACCATAACTGCAAGTATTTCTGAATAAAATATCTGTTTTATAATCATCTTTATTGAGTTATCTATATGATCTGGAATTACAAAGCATCTTAACTCTGGATCAGAACATGTGGCCTTACCAAGGCATTATAAAGTGGTACTAACATTTCACGTGATCTTGATTTTTGGTCAGACAGAAAACCTCTCCCTCCCTTCCTCCCCTCATTAATAGAGTTTTTTTCCCTACCTCTGGTGACTGCAAGGCTCCTTCCTCGGGAAATGTTAAGTTGTTCATTCTTTTCTTTCATCAGTGCTACCCAGAAAATGCAAGAGAGAAAAATAAAGTGAGAATGAATGAATTCCATTGTAAGGTGAGAACAAGTAGGATTCTTTTAAAGTGCCTTGTAAATATTCTGGCAAGTTATCTACTCCATCGCTACGTTATGCAGGTAGTCCTCAACTTATAACAGTTTGTTTAGTGACCGTTCAAAGTGACTTATGATACTTTTTCACACTTATGACCTTTGCAGCCTCCCCATGGTCATGTGATCAAAATTCAGACATTTGGAAAACCGACTCACTTTTATGATGGTTGCAGTGCCCAGGGGGCCACGTGATCCCCTTTTGTGACCTTCTGACAAGCAAAGTCAATGGGGAAGCCAGATTCACTTAACAACCGTGTTGCTAAATTAACAACTGCAGTGATTCACTTAACAAGTTTGGCAAGAAAAGTTGTAAAAATGGGGTAAAATTTACTTGTCTCGCTCAGCAACAAAAATGTTGGGCTCCATTGTGACCATAAGTTGAGGACTACCTGTAGTAATGTAATATATGGCAGCCAGTTTGGTGCAAAGGTTAAAGTATCAGGCGACAAACCAGAAGGCGATGTGTTCTAGTTCCACCTTAGGCACAAAGCTAGATGGTTGACCTTGGGCCAGTCACTTTTTCATAGCCCTAGGAAGGAGGTAATGGCAAACCACTTTTGAAAAACCTTATCAGGGAAACTGAAAGGACTAATCCAGGCTATCTCCAGGACTCAAAAACTGATTCATAGGCACACACACCTGCACACACACACACTTAAACACAAAACGGAATATAACTAAATGACATCTACATCTGGTTCTGCCTGGGAAAGTTGTTCATACTGTGCTTTTTTCTTTGATTTCTGCCCCATTAATTTGACATAATTCCGCTCTAGTATGGCATTAAAGACTTGCCATGGCAATTAAGCGGCCAGTCATTAGGGCATGACCTAATTGTGGTCATAAATCGAGGACTACCTATAATCTCTCCCTTGTGAGACCAGCAGCCCAACTGTAAGCTCATCAACTGTAAGGTTGATCAGTCACACTCCCTAGTGATCATGTGTTTCTGGAGAAAAGCTGGAGAACTTTAGAAGTACACTGATATTGGGTTATTCCACAAACTTTGTCACAGTGCAGCTCAATAATTTTCGTAGTATGCACAGCTAGTTCTTGTTTTACGACTGTAATTCAACACACAATTTTGATCATAGGTAGTGACAGACAAATGTCAGTTTCTGGCAAAAACATTAAAATCGCAATCACTTGACTGCAGCATGTTGCAAATAGCCATAAATGCAGGCTGGTTGCCAAATGTCCAAAATGCAGTCACATGACCATCGGGGGGGGGGGAGATGTCACAACTTCAAATCCAAATTGTAAGTTCCATTTTCAAGCTCTGTTGTAACTAAACGACTAGTTGTAAGTTGAGGCCTACCTGTATACAACAACAATAAGCATTATCCTGTCCAAAAGACCATCCTTTTGACTTTTTTCATTTCTTCTAACAAGCAGCAAAAATAAGTTCTAAATACTGCTTATAAAGAATATAATCAATTCTCTCCATTTTCACATGAATGGACTAAAATGTTGTCCTAAATTTGAAATACAATTTTGTCCAGAGCTGTGCTGGGATGAAAATAAAATTGCCAGATTTTTAAAAGTGAAACCTGCCACCAGGTTTTAAATGTCGTAGAAAAGCTTAACAAGAACAAACAAACAATATCAACATGCATGTCTTGCACGATTTTATCTGTGTAAAATATTCACCATCCTTGATTGGTATTAAAGCACCTATGGAGATACCATATTTTCACTTTGGGAAAAATGTCTACTACAATATTAGTTTTCAGCTATAAGAGCTTAATTTAAGAAGTCCAAGTATAAGATCTTAGTGTAAGAATCCAGCATGATAAAGCAGGGGTCCCCAACTCCCGGTCTGTGGACCAGTACCGGGCCGTGGCATGCCAGCAACAGGGCCACACAAACAAGCAAAGCCCCATCCGCAAGATGCAGGCAGCACACAAAACCATGCACTCTCTGGTCCGCGGAAAAACCTCTCTCCACGGAACCGGTCCCTGGTGCCCAAAAGGTTGGGGACCTAGAATAGAAGAATTTCTTTATTCATCAGTGAAATCTATCAGAAAGGAGAATTTAAGGGCACATCAATTGTTTTTGTACAATAAAAGTTCAGCCTTCACTAAAGAAGTATCTAGCACAGTGGTTCTCAACCTGTGGGTCGGGACCCTATTTGGGGTCGAATGACCATTTCACGGGGGTCACCAAACAACACAGTCCGCCATTTTCCCCCCCTTTTCCTTAGCTGTGCTACTCCCTTTTATTCTATTGGCTTTTGAAAGCCAATAGAATAGACTCTCTTGAATAGAGTCTAATTCTATTGGCTTTCAAAAGCCAATAGGAATTGTCCAGGCTGTCTCTGCCCTGCTGAGCCCGCCAAAAGTCCCATTCTGCAAACGGTGCTGCACCAGTTGAGTAGTCCTCGACTTACGACCGGTTGAGTAGTCCTCGACTTACGACCAGTTGGGGGTCGCGGCATTAAAAAGGTTGAGAACCACTGATCTAGCACTTATCTTCGAATAACACACATAACAACTACAATAACTCACAATGAAAATTCTGGGCTCAACTGTAGTTGTTAAGTGAGGATCTCCTGTATATGATGCATGTGATTATTGAGGATATTTGAAGATCTTTTTCATTCTTTCATTATAACGTGAAGTGTCTCTTCCTTGAACAGTCCTTTTCTTGGGCTCCTTTTTCTCCAATAATAGTAATGAAATCCCATCAGAAAAACACGGGTGGCTCAAGGCAAAAGTCTTTGCTTCATATTTTGCTGCTAGCGATGTTAGATGAATATACAACTTCTCTGTAATTTTTCCCAATGTTTCTTTTTTTCCTTTGAACCCTCAGATCTCTATGGTCAATCAGAAGTCTCCAGAAAATGGCATGCTGAGCAGTGAGGTGATTTTTTTTCTCCTACTGACAAACAGCTGACTTTACTGCCAAGGCTGGCTCTTCAGCAGGATAATCCCTGGGTTTTGAATGAGAATGACTTGATATAATCCATAGATGACTGTATACTTGCTTGGAAAAAGAGTTCAGTGGATCATGATTCTCAGTAAGTACAGCTAAGCAGTGTTCTCAACCTTGACAACTTTAGGGCATGTAGACTTCAACTCCCAGAATTCCACAGCCAACAATGCTGGCTGTGGAATTCTGGGAGTTGAAGTTCACATGCCTTAAAGTTGTCAAGGTTGAGAAACACTGAGAGGGTCTGGTTTCCATCTTTTCCAGTCATTGTTTCTTTTTTTAGGCGCACCTCTACTTTAATATTACGTTTTGAAGTTTTCTTTTGTTTTGGCCTACATTTTTAACTCTTAAACATCTGGTTGAATGCTGATTTATCTTACAACACCTTGTCGGATTGCAAAAGTGAATTTTTCATTGTTTCATTCTGGAGTTAAAAAACATTTTCTCCTTTGCCACATGGAAGGAGATGGCATGAGGACTTTCCCTTCTGTAGTGAAAGTGATTGGATTTGAAGTACATCGTTTTTCTACTGCAAGGATTTGGTATCTCACTTGTTCTTAAAAGAAACTTTGTTGTTTTACACTATTTTTGTAGATATTGTATCTCTCGTTTTCTTTTTTTTTCCTTTTGAAAGAGATAGGAATTTCCCCCTTTATTTTCTATTTACTCTCCACTATGGGAATCTCAGTTTTTTCTGTGCTTACTTTGTTATGGAATATTTCACTCTTGTCCTTGAGAAGAAATTGCTTACATTTTGCTGTGGAAGTTCAGCAATAAGAGGGATTGGGATCATATTAAAATTCAAGCAATAACAAAACTAAAGACCCTGAACATTATATATTATACATCCTTCACGATGCCCGCCAAAAAGAGATATAAAAGAGAGGCAGAAGCTGGATAACTTTAATGTGAAAGCCTTTTTTGAAAAAAAAAAAAACAATACTTTTCAAGATAAAAATCTAGACAAACGTTTTGATGGATTAGCAACAGTTCTAAATCAACCTAAAGATGACACCCAGATACAGGTGACAGCACTTAAATCAGACCTGCAGTTGGATGGGCTGGAATTTAATTTGTTATTAACAGATATGAAAAAGGAGTTTTATTTGAGATTGGTAACTTCTTAGAGGAGGCTAAATGGGGCATCCGTTTAAAATATTTAATCATAGTGGAGATGACACAGTGGATGGATGATGGACTGGATCTTCTTAGGAAAGCTGAAGGAGCTTGTAGAATAGACTTATTATATATAGCTAGAAGATAACACTTGGCGGATGCCGTGATTCGGTTCGTGGGAAAACCTACTGAACAACAAGGGCTGCAGAGATCCTCCCAACGGAGACTTATGACTTTGGGGAGTGAAATGTAACTAACTGGAAGATTATTATTTCAAGGAAACGTTTATTATCAAGAAACAATTGAGGATATTTGATCCTGGATGGATCAGAGATAATGATTGCAGTGTGTTTATGGTAGTCTAAAAGCCATTTGTGGACTTTCTGCAAGTTAAATACATGAATAGATTGTTAACAGAGGGCTTTGAAATTTAGCTTGTTGTTGGGAATACCTGTTAACTGCTTTCTTTTACAGTAAATAGATGCTAAGGCAATTTGGTTGATTGGTAATAGATTTTCACATCTGTAATATTTTAATGCCATATAGTAATTTAGCAAACAAAGATGTAGAAGTTTATAAGTTGTGGACCTCTTTTGCAGGGAGGGAAAACTATTATTGTTGAAATATAATTTATTAGTATTCAACTGAGAGGAGCAATCTATGTATATCTTTGTCATTTTGTTTTTATTCACATTTTGGGGGGGGTTGTACTGTTTTGTTTTTGATTTTTTTTCTTTTCTTTTTGGGATTTTGTATTTTAACTTTGGAAATAAGATAAAATTTTTATTTAAAAAAGAATTCTATCATCAACCAATACAGAGATACTGCAAACAAAAGGCCAAAAATGTCCTCTAGATTTGAGTTCTGAATCATAACCCTTTTTTCAGTTTTTTTTACAAAGTTTTCAGTATCAGTATGATTTTTCTGTGGGCAGAGCTAGAAAATGAATCTTCACTCAGTCTTCAGAATCTGCAAATGACAAGTACCAAAATACTGTAAATGTATGATATTTATCAGAACTGCCAACTTTACTTATAAGAATCAGTTTCTTTTCATGACCAGAGCTGTGATATGAATGTCTTCTGAATGCTGTTTTAACTTTTTATTATTTTGCACATTCTTGTGTATTTTTTCTTCTTTATTTCTATTTCATTCTTTTTTTTTCTTCTCTTCTATTTCATTGTCTGGAAACAGGCTGCCTACTTGCCATCTTCTCAGCAAAGGGCAAGAAACTGAAAGATCAGGTCTGCCTCCATTAATCTATATTTCATTAGGTTGCAAGATTGAATGATATGTTCAGTAGTGTGCAGGGATTTTATTTTTTTAACTCTTTAGCCTTACTCGACAATATCTATATATCCTTTTACGTCATGAATCCAGCATGGAATATTGAGAAGCTGAAAACACATGTTTCGCACACACAAAAAACCCCTGCTTTCTGGATGGCATAAAAAAAAAAAAACCCTGATCCTGAATTTAGTTTCACATGCTTTCATGATTGTTGCTTGGGAATAGTGGAACATTAAGGTTTTGAATTAAAAAATACTTTTTGGGGTAAGCCACTGTTCTAGAACAATTCTTAGAAATAAAATACTATTTTGGATGAGCATTGTTTTTTGTTCCATCTGTAGAGAACCAGTTGGTGTAGCTATTTATGGCAGGCTAGAAATTGGGTGACTGAGTTCTAGTGCTCCCTTAGGTACCAAGCCCAGTGGGTGACTTTGGGATAGTAACTCAGTCTGATCCTTAGGAGGGAGTTAACGTCAAGCCACTTCCAAATATTTTGCTAAGAAAACTGCAGGGACTTGCCTAGGTAATCATCTGGAGATAAGATTGACTCAAAGGAACTCATATACCTATACAATTTGTAGAGTATACATCCAGATGAAAGAAACCTATGGTTTGCATTGGAGGACACGTACTCTGACAAGTGTCTATATCAGTAACTATCATTCATCTTTGACAATCTGTCTGCTTGAATTCTACTTACTCTGAATAGAGCTGGCTCGGCTGATGCCATTCTGATACACAGCATATACTGAAATGGCGGAGCTCTTTCCCATTCTGATGCTTTCTGTAAAGATGAAGTTTAAAACAGCACATATTTTTTATGGAATTTCAGTTTTAATGCATATTCTTAAAAAGAATCATTATCATCAAGAAAACCCTTTTCTAAGAAGGAAATCAGGGTTTAACTGTTTTACACGAGCAATGATAGCAACAAGCATAACAACAGGAACATCCATTCTGGAAATGCTTTTATCACATTTACATCCTATCCAAGAGGGATCTAAATGTGTCTCTTTCACTATGTTCTCATAATAGTTGTATTCATCCATGTGAACTACTTGGGTAAGCTATAAAATACAAGGAGACAAATTCATGGAGGATAAGACAATTGATGATAGTATTTATGACAGCCATCTGTTAACTCCAGATGTCTATGAATACCAGTTGCTAAGAGTCTTGAATGGAAAGACCCAATTGTACATGTCTTCCATTTGATTACTTGCTGGGAGAAACAAATGACAACTTTCAGTCTCATCCAGCATAATTCCTGTGATGTTCTTATGATTTTAGTAGCATTTTTTAAATCAATCATTTATATATCAGGGCTTGCTTGGATTTAAAGCAGATCATGCCTTTGAAAAGATTTAAAAGTATATTTTATTAGAAGTAATCTTGTGTTACCCAGATAGTATACAGGCAGCCTTCAACTTACAACCACAGTTGAGCCCAAACATTTGGTTGCTAAAGGAACAGATTATTTGTTAACTGAGTTTTGTCCCATTTTATGACCTTTCTTGGCACAGTTGCTAAGTGAATCACTGCAGTTGTTAAGTTAGTAACATGGTTGTTAAGTGATTCTGGCTTCCCCATTGTCTTTGTTTGTCAGAAGGTCGCAAAAGGAGTTCACATGACCCTTGGACACTGTGCTCATCATAAATATAAGTCAGTTGCTAAGCTTCTGAATTTTGATCAGATTGTTAAGTGTGAAAAATGGTCATGTCACTTTTTTCAGTGCCATTGTATCTTTGAACGGTCACTAAATGATATGTTGTAAGTTGAGGACTACCTGTACTTACTAATATATGTATCCATCTTACATATTTATTATGAAGACACCAAAAGTATTGACTTGTAACTTACCTTCAATAGAAGTTGACGTATTTTGGAAAGGGACTTTCTTCCATGCAATGCTATGCTGAAAATGACTGAAGTCTGCAGAAATCCATTCCACTATGTACCATAAAAGTGTTTTTCCAATAGATTCAGGGGGTTCCCATTGAACAGAAATTCCTTTCTGTTTATCAGTGAATATTTCAATATTAGTAGGCGGTGGGAAAGCTATGGGGAAAAACAGATGGGGTTATATGTCAACGTATCATTTTTGTTACTGGATATTTCCATAACTATATAATGACATCATTCAAAAGGATTGCATTGATATAGCTAAAAATGCTCTTGAAATAAGTGAACAATATATAGATTAATCTCTGTAATGTGGTGACCTCCATATATATTGATTTCCATCTCCATTTCAGACATTATGGAAGACTGAAGAAGTTCCCCATTTTACTAGTTACTATGATATTTCTTTGTACATGCTGAGATATCAGTTGTGACCCAAGATAAATGAAAAGTGTGCATCAGGCCTACCCCAAAAATGACATAATATCATTCAACCAAAGTTCAGATCTTTAGTTGCATATACCATATAGACAGAATTTTGCCAGACTAAATCTATACTACCCTAACCTAATGGATGTACCCTGGGAAATTGTAGGGAGTGGCCATCTTCAATTTCTTCCCATGTTGCAGCTCTGAGCTTTGCCATCTCTTATCTTGTCCCACTCTTTGGAATCTGCTCCCTCCTTCCTGGGAATTTGCTGCATTAATGTAGTCCATCACAACACTTCTGCCTTCACTGACATAGATAAACATGTATAATATGCAAGACTATATTCAACCAGCAATGGCTCCAAGAAATTATGGTCCAGCTTGATGGCCTCCTCATTCTCTGTTGCAATGCAGAAGGTGAAGTAGGTCTGGTGAAACTCTTTCTCATGGTGTTATCCTCTGTGGCAACATTTCAGTACACGTTCTTCCTAAAACAGTAAGGTGTGGCAAAGGGCTTCATACATTCCAGTGCAAATCATCCATTGGGATGGGATTTTATGAGTTCCCTGAGGCAAACATTTTGACAGTACAAAGAGGTGAACTTTAAAAAAATGTTTCTGTTCGGGTACTCTTTAACGAAGAATTGTTCTTTGAAATGTTTCTAATAATGAAATAAAATATTTAGATTGAACCTGTAGAGGGCACTGTAGGAAAACTAGTCGACAAACAAGACAGACCTAACGTAATTCTTAACGTAATTCTTAACGTAATTGCTAACGTAATTCTTAAGAGTGCGGAAATGATAAAAATACAGTCTTATTATTCTAAGTACTATAGGCTGCACTGTAAGAGCGTTATTTTTAAGGCAGTATCATGATTATTAACTCATTTGTGATCTGAAATTTAGCAGACACTTTTTATATATAAGGTTTTAATAATCGAAGTTGTGGGAAGTTAATCTTTAAAAGATATTTTTAGATCCCAAGTTCTTGCTATATAGTATTTATGCCTGAATTGGAATGGCATGTTTTGCAGCTAGGTATGTCTGAAATTTAGAATTACCGTATTTTCCGGCGTATAAGACGACTCAGCATATAAGACGACCCCCGACTTCGCAGACGATTTGCATGCTTTAGAAAGTCGTCTTATACGCCAGAAAATACAGTACATATTTATACCTGTACATTGCAGATATAGTCATAGTGGAAGAAAGTAATTTGGCTGATCTTGTTAATAGCTTCAATCTGCAAATGGCAGAATTCAAAAAGTGTCATTATTTTTACAGGTACTCCTTGATTTACAACTATTCATTTAGCGACCATTTTCAGTTACAATGGCACTGAAAAAAAGAGAGTCGCCCTTATGATTGTCCCACCATCCCCATGGTCTTATGATCAGAATGTGGTCACTTGGCAACAGGTTTGAATTTATGATAGTTGCAGTGTCCTAGGGTCACGTGGTCACTGTGACCTTCCCAATCAGCAAAGTCAACGGGGGAAAACCGATTCACTTAATGACCACATGATTTGCTTAACTGCAGTGATCTGTTTAACAACTGTGGCAAAAAAGACTGTAAAATTGTGTGCTATTCATTTAACAACAGCCCTGCTTAGCAATGGAAATTCTGTCTCCAATATTTTAAATAGTAATATATTACAATAGTGACAAAAATAAGTGTGGAAATAATGTTAGGGAGTCCCCAGTAGGATATTTTATTCCATTCCATTCCATTTTATTTGTTTGTTTTTTAATTTATTATGGTTACCCACTTCAGAGGACTCTGGGTGAGGGTGGCTTACTATCTAACATAATATAATGCAGCACCAATTTCTGAAAAGTTTGCCTGCTCGGTGACATCTTACCTTGATAATTGTGAGGTAATTGTTTCACTATAATATTTGCAGGTTTGGAACTTCCTTTGGAATTGCGTGCTGTCACATAAATAACGGTCACTGCTGGGGGCACCATCACTTTGCAATGTATTTCTGTTGTTTTACATAAATCCACATTCTCTCCTTGTTTTTCATAAAATATTCTATAATTCAGAATTTTTCCTCTGCTTTCCTTTGGAGACAGTGGCTAGAGGAATGCAGAATTGCCTTTAGAGAGCAGCAAAAAACAAAACAAAACTAGTCTTTTATTATTTGTACATATGTTTAAAAAGTTGCCGAAATGTGAAATCCAAAGGAAAAATGATTGAACCAACAGCTTCTCAGGAGGGCCTAATTACACCTGAAATGCCATCCAGGTAACAGTAGCCTTTGAAGGGAGTCATGGAGAATTAATCAGAAGGAGGGGAAATGTAGGGAGCCATTTAAGTATTTTGCTGTCTGCCATTTCACCTCTTCAACTTGTACCCCCCAAGCAGCATCTTAATAAGATTTTTTTTTATTTTGAAATGTTTGACATGTTCTCAAAATCAAGTGAGGGGAAAAAAAACTTAAGGTGGATAAATTCACTTGTTTCAAAGAAGGTGGAAACTTTTCCTTTTACAAAAAAGCCTTCACCATATCCAACCTCACCACTACCAGGGAGGCCTTTACCTGCAAGGAGGGACACGGATCTAAAACAGGTGGCCACATCCTAGGTCCACTTCCTCAGAACCAACAGTTTGGAACTCTCGCCAGATAACCAAGCAAGACGGTGCACCATATTTTATTTCTATACATTTATATTTATATACCTCTATTTCACAGAGCGCTCCCAATCAAAGTCCAAGTTCAGCCAAATCTGGGAGACTTTATCCATTAGATGCACAGAATAGTCTTCACAATGGCTTTGGAGATGTTCCTTTGCCGCCTCCTTCCCAAGGAGGGGTCTGGTTACTCAAAATGAAGATGCCAGCCAGCTATCTGTTCACATCATAATAGCTCTCTGTTTCAGTGCTAACTAAGTGCTAATAAAGATTCTTAGCTAGGCTCTGTCAGATTCATTCTTTGTCTTCACCAATGGTGCTCCAGGATCTCTTGCATTGCTTCATCTCAGGGAATCCTTCTGAAAACTGGAAGAATTCAAGAATCCACAAATGCAGAAAGAACAGAAATGATCTGATCTGAGGCTGTCATTGCCTGTTCATTCCAAGCTAAGGCTTTGGATTAATCATGCAACAGAGCTTAGGAACAAACCTAAGGTCCCTATGGAATCCAACTGGCTTCATCAATTGTCTGGGGCAGACCACTGAATTGGTCCTTTCTCCCTGCAGTGGAAGTTAGCTGCAGAGAACGCTATGGCTAGGAGGGCATGATCTCTCCTTCATAAGAGATTGATGTCAATACTCCTCAACACCAAAGCACACCACAATTCTCAGATGAAGACCAGATCTAATGACGTAGACCTCTGAATAGGGCCCTGAATAATCTGGATTAGATCCATTGTTGCCATGAACTTCCAAGCTGCCTCTGACTCTGGGCCCACAGAAAGCAGGTTGAAGTCTCTCAAAATCATGAGCCTAGGAAACTCCACCTGACACAGAGCTGAGAAGCACAGATAGGGAAGCTGCCACACAAGAAGAAAGTACAGAGGCAGCAATCCCAATTGATCCCTCTGGCCCAGTTTCATAAACAAGGTTTATGAAACAGTATACCATATCCAATGCAGCACCCTTGAAAACTAGCAAAGATTCCTGGATGACAACAGCCACACTTCCTCTTTTCCAAAACCCTGGAGGACAAATTTCTGGGTAGGGAAATCCACCGCTTTGGATCCAATCAGATTTCAGTATGCAGAATAGGTTGGTTCCCTAAGAACAGCCCACACCTATCTTCTGCTGTATCACCCTCTGTCACTTTCCTGATATATCTTTGCTTGTCTTCTCCTCCAGCACTACATCCAGTTCCTCCAGCTGATGTGCTCCCATCTCCAGATGAAAGGCTTACATCACCACACTCTTGCATATATAGTGCAATATAGGATGTGACAAACACCCCCCTATGTAATGGTACTTCTGCCTAACATCCAGCATCCGCTATTTGGTACATCTGCCCATATGACACTGGACATCCAACTTCATCCCATACATCATCTTCCAACTACCCTTCTCTCAGGTAATGGACCAGGAGAAAAACCAGCTATACCCTCATCTAGCCCATTGGCCCAGATAAGTTTTCCACTGTTTTTCACAGAAGCAGAAGAAATTACAGCCTCACCAGTTGCCCTTTCCCACAGCCAGTTTAGATCAGGGATGTCAAACTCACAATGTCATGTGACGTATTGTAACGTATCGCAACTTTTTTGCCTTTGCTGACAATGGGGTGGGCGCGGTTTTGACACCCCTGGTTTAGATTATTAATCTGGCCCTTCTCTCACAATCCTTTGGAACCATTGAGGTAAACAGACCAGGTCTGCTGCAAAGTGTAATACATAAAGCAGTATTCACCCCATTTTAATGTACATTGCATAATCAACAAACATTTAAAAGGGTGGAATTGACTGTGTCACATCTGCCCTCTTGACTTTTTGACCCACACTCTCACAGTGGCACTTGGATTTTATTTCCTTTCTCAGTTCTAAATTATTTTCTAAAATGATAATCTCTATTGTTTTTTTAAATGTTTATTATCACCTTGATCAGGACAGTCACCTCTTGGGTACTATTGGGATTAACTGGCCCAAATTTCCTCCATACATCAAGTACCGCAGCTGGTTCTGTATTTAAAAAGAGGGGAGAAACATGTAATAACAGAAACATATGACAAAAATATATAAGAGAATGACTTCTTCTATTATAGCATTGCTCTTACACTGAGGAATAATTATAATAATGGAGCAAATGAGCTGTTTTTTAAAATAGATTTTAAAAGATAATACACAAGCATGGAAAATGAGAGCATTTTGGAAAGATAGTGTAGGAGGCTACTACTACACTATATAGGAAGCTACTATATTATAGCAAATAGCTTTAATATCAAGAGCTGCGGAAGATCCAATCACATACTAGTAATCTATGGGATGGCCACATTTCCATTTTTCAATCAATGGTAAACTGACTGATGCTTCCTTCATTTCTTTCTAGAACTGTTGTTGAATAATAACACTTACTGAACCTATACTGTTTGATTTGCCTCAGTAATATGGAGAGTGACAGCTTCTCTACCAACTTGCTGGAGAGGAAAACTACCTATAACTGAGTTTGTACCTACCCATAAGTAGTACTGATACCCAGTAATTATTAATAAATTATGTAATAGATCAGTAAGTAGCTATTAGCTGTTACTTTATCAACCCAAGTTCAGGTTTTCAGTTGAAACATAAAAGGCAGGCCTTATTCACAAAACATGCTGAATCACAATCTAGTCAAATCATATTTAAGTTTAGTGTGTTATGTGAACTCGGTTAGTGTTATCAGTTTCTGGTTCAATGGATTATTCAGAGAAAATTGGGGCAATGGTGTAAACTAAGTTAACTTTATATAAGTATGTTATGTTAGTACTGTACTGGGAAACTTTTTAAGTATTGAACATATCATCATTTCTCCCCTCTCCCTGACAATGAGAACAGAATAACAACTGCATAAGATACAACAGATTCAAAATAAAAGTATCACAAAGCTGCCTGACTTTGCCAAATAAGGACTTCCAATAGCTAATACATTCAGGAAATGACAATTTTAATAGGAAATTATGGGGAAAGGTTCACCTGATGAATTTCAGATCAGAATGTAGAAATAGCAATAGCACTTAGACCAGACATGTCAAACTCACGATGTCACATGATGTCGCGCGACATATCGAAGCTTTTTCCCCATTGCTGGCAATGGGGGGGGCGCAGTTTCTTTGTGATGCGTCCGGCCAATGGGCTGGCAGTTTGACATTCCTGACTTAAACTTATATACCCCTTCATAGTGCTTTTCAGCCCTCTCTAAGCGGTTTACAGAGTCAGCATATTGACCCCTACAATCTGTCTCCTTGTTTTACTGACCTCGGAAGGCTGAGTCAACCATGAGCCAGTCAAGATTGAACTCCTGGAGTGAGCAGTGAGTTAGCCTGCAGTACTGTAACCACTGCCCCACCATGGCATATGTATATGTATAGGTATAGGTATATGTATATGTAGAACCCAGTTCTGTCAGCAGGAGTCACTAATTCTCTAATAATATGACTTCCTGTAAAATATATATAAACTATACAGCTAAAAATTCGACTCTTGGGTATATTATCCATAATAAATATCGATCACCAAGAGAAAGTAGTAAAATTTTAATAGCCAAGCTTTCGTTGGGACCACCCAACATCGTCAGGGTTTAAAAGCAGACGCTAGAGAGAAAGCTTCTGACGATGTTGGGTGGTCCCAACAAAAGCTTGGTTATTAAAATTTTACTACTTTCTCTTGGTGATCATTCATATATACATATACATATACATACATACATATATATATATATATATATATATATATATATATATATATATATATGTGATCATTCATATATATATATATATATATATATATATATATATATATATATATGATAATATGGCTTCTTGTAATATAACTATTAAACTTTTACATGAGGTTGACAAAAAAGAATGAAACTGTGGGCTAACCAGAGTTGTATCTCAATATGTTGTATTTCTTACTGAGGTTAGAAAGTTTCTCCTTAGAGCACATGGCTTGTGGTAACTATCAAAGGGAAAGAGAAAAAAAGCTTGGAGGTATTTTACTGCTAAGCCTACATAGATCTCTCCTGTTCCTGAGTGAGTTCCCAGTGGCAATAATATTCCTTCTTTTGTAGAGCATTTGGCTGGTTAGGTCAACTCACTTTTTAAAATTGCTTTCTTATCCTCAGTCGCTGTTATTTTAAATACTCAGGTGAAATGAGATAGCAAAAAGCAGACTAGGTTATCCCTAAATTTGACAGTAGTAGGACTGGCAAGGACCAAATAAAGAGTGGGGTTTCTTATCTTGAACTTCTGCAATTTGATATGAATTATACTAGACATATTATTTCCATTAAATGCCTAAGGACTGGTTCCCATGTCTTGCTTTTCCCAGTTTGAGGTTGGTTGCTCAAAGACAGGAGCATATGTTGTCTTCAATCTGTCCCTAACCCACATAAAGACAACCTCCACCCTTTCTTTTTCGCTCCATTTCAAAAATAATGTTTTACAATTTCCCTCAGCTCAAGAAATGTTGTATAGTTGAGCTTCCTTTCTTTCTACCCAAATATCTCTCTTCCAGCTTGCCCATGGAAAACATGGTAAGAAAACCCCATCTCTCTGGTTATTGGTTGCTGTCTTCCATGGCCTTCTCATGGAAGGCTTCCTGCTCAGTGGTGGGATTCAAATATGTGAACAACCAGTTCTCTGTGTGGATGCAACTTCTGGAAGTCCATTCTGGACCTGGGCAACAAAAAATTAGCTACCGGTTCTGCCAAACTGGTGCAAACTGGCTGGCTCCCACCACTGTTCCTGCTCCTTCTGAAAGGATACTCCCATTGTGGACCAGTAAAGCTCTGAACTTTTGCCCTCCACTTGTTTTTAAAAGGTTTGGTGGAGGACTGGTGAAAAAGTACACTTTTTCTTTTACAAATTAATCTGTGAAAGCATGGTCTGTCCTTTCATTTTTTTTAAATGGATGAGGGCTCTGCCAATCTCCTCTTGCCTAAGTACTGTAGCAAAAAGCAGGGTAGAAGAGTCCTTGCCACCACACCCACCTGTCCACTGGCAGATAAGGGGAATGGGAAAAGCATTGGGGGGTGCCTTACGCAAAAGAACATCAATGGAAAACTCTTATCCCCAAAGACTGCCTGCGTCAAATGAAGTGATTGATACTTGCTTTCCCCAGCAAGTTAGAAGGAATAAAGGAGGTGGTATCTGCCATCTGGAATGAAGATCCTGACTAACATGAATGCCAATGCTGAAAAATGGATTGACAGTAATGTCTTCAATGGGCTTCATTTCCAGCCACTTTCAGTATGGGAAAAAGCAGTTCAAGGCTGCCACATTAGCTGCATATACAGGTAGTCCTCACTCAATGAACGATTGTTTAGTGACCATTCAAAGTTACAATGTGGCCCCCAAAAGGTACTTGTGACCCAATGAGAGATTTCGGACAGTGGCACCTGACGCCCTCCCCCCAAGTCACATGACCACATTTCCAACCCCCTGGAAACAGGCTGGCCTATATGTTTGATTACAGACTTCCACTGTCATCCGATGAAATTTATGATTTTTTTTTGCTGGAAACCAGCCTTTGGAGCCAATTTCTAGCAAAAAAAAAAAAAGCGCAACGTAATGCATTTACTTGCTTAACAGCCAAAGTGTTTGCTTAATAACGGTGACATTTGCTTAATGACTGCCATGTTCAGTTAACAACTGTCTCAAAAAAGGTTGTAAAATGAAGTCAGTTATGTGGGTGCCTCAACTCATGACCATTATGACTTACAATGGAAATTCCAACTGCATTATGATCAATAAGTCGAGGACTACATATAAAAGCTGAAAGAAGATGATGAAAATGATACAGGAAACAAGAGCAAAAAGATATAAACTAGTATTCCAGTTCCTGAGTGACAGCTGTCTTTTTGCTGAAAATACTCAGAAACCTCTAATTAGTTGATTTATAGTGGCTTCAATTCTTTAACCATTCTCTGTGGAATCTTTTTTCTTTGACTTGAAAAAGATGTTCAAGAAAAAAAGAGTGAAACTCACCTTTCTCTGGAGTAAGATATACTGTAGACTCACTCCATCTGCTCCACAAGCTTCTGGGGTGAGTTAGTTTGCATCTAATTTGAAACTCATACTTTGTATTTGCATCTAAGTTGTACTCAGTGTAAAGTTCGTTTCTTAAATTAGCATCCCAGTCTCTCACCTAAAACAGAGAAACAGTAAAATCCAATTTTGTACTCAGCCTAAATCTTTGGTTCCTACACAGCTTGGTGTGAACCCCAAAGCCTCCATCTATAGTGGAAATTAATTCTGTTTTCAAATATGATTTACTGTTGTAGTTTGTTTTCCTAACAGTCAACCTCTCCTTTTTTTAAAATCAGTGATAATTGAATAAATCAAACAGAAATAGCGCATTCTCAGGGCTAGCATCCTCAAAGCAGGGACATTAAAAACAGCAATATGGGTAATAATGTTAGATTCCAGATGAATATGACTTAGATGGCAATAAAAATTATTTTGGCTGCATTTGGGAATATTCCTATTTATTTTACTTAATGAGATGTACTTTTGCCTCAAAGTCATGTTTGGATAGCAACACTCAATAGACACTCAGAAGTTTCTGGAGTTCAATCACAAACTATATGTTCATCATTGGATCTCTCAGCATTTCTGTTAAGATAATATACCTGAATTTAATTAGAACAGTGGTTCTCAATCTTTTTAATGCCGCGACCCCCAACCGGTCATAAGTTGAGGACTACTCAACCGGTCGTAAGTTGAGGACTACTCAACTGGTGCAGCACCGTTTGCAGAATGGGACTTTTGGCGGACTCAGCAGGGCAGAGACAGCCTGGACAATTCCTATTGGCTTTTGAAAGCCAATAGAATTAGACTCTATTCAAGAGAGTCTATTCTATTGGCTTTCAAAAGCCAATAGAATAAAAGGGAGTAGCACAGCTAAGAAAAAGGGGGGGAAAATGGCGGACTGCGTTGTTTGGCGACCCCCGTGAAATGGTCATTCGACCCCAAATGCGGTCCCAACCCACAGGTTGAGAACCACTAAATTAGAACAATGATGCTTACTCAGTCTGTTTTGGGATTATCTGAGAAAGAATTTAAGTTAAAGTAGTGCTAAAGGAAACGATCTTTCCATCACGTTTACAGCTATGTATATATTTAATTTTCTAAAAAGCAAATGCAAAGATAATACATATCTCCTTCCTACTCTGTGGTTAGCAACATTTTGTTCGTGCTAAAGGGAGGGAGGAAAACATACTTATCTATAACAAACTGAGATTGCATCAAAAGTGACAACATCATGCAAATTCTTTTTTTGTACATGTGCCCCAAAGTCTTAGTATGTTAGTTTTGTGTTTGATGTCATGATATGAAACTTGATTAGTCACTTGCCCCTTTGCTTCCACCTATGGACCCCCATATCTTTCTGTGTCTGCTGGCTTGCTACTCTGGAGATGATATAGTGCAAGGGTCTCCAACCCCCGGTCCATGGACTGGTACTGGTCTGCAGCATGCCAGCAATCAGTCTGCACAAACAAGCAAAGCCCCATCCACGGAATGCAATCAGCACACAAAACCACACACACTCTCTGGTCCGCGGAAAAACCTCTCTCCACGTAACCGGTCCCTCGTGCCCAAAAGGTTGGGGATCTCTGATATAGTGGAGAAAGAAGAGTCATCACAGGCTGGGTAAAGGAAGATTCACTGCATCCCAGCACTATCACCTTTCTATATCAGCTTGTTCATTCATAGAATAGCCATGCATTCAACTCAATCAGTCTAGGAATTGCATACTGTACTGAAGATATAAAAATATATAGGTATGGCATTCTTTCAGTTGTATTAATAAATGCATTCTTCAATTATATATTTATTAAAACATGGGAGACACTGTTTAGATTTATCTTTCTTATAAAATAAAAACTTTTCAAACTGTATAGCCAGAACTATACCAAATAATCACTTGTAATTCACTGAATGGATCACAGGTCAAGTATTCTTATCAACTTTGCCCTCCTGATAATCTTTATAGTTTTCTATAAACTCCATTCATCATGGCAAAGGATATGATTCTTTTATTTACATCCTGCCACAATAAAAAATATTTTAGCAATTAAAAAGATTATAGAATTTGAAATCCTAAAATAGCGGATAGATGAGGAAAGCTGTTTTAGGTCTAATGTGAACCTGAATTGTTTGACGATTTTGTTGTTATTTTAAAAAGTGTAATTTATCTTTGTAGCATCAAAGAGAGAAAAGCTATAAATCCAGATTATATGCATATGAAAACAAGTTCAATTATGTGTTGTTTTATCTATTGCTCTTTCTGGAATATAAGAAAGATATTATTCCTATATCTTTTCTTATACATTTGTATACTGTGGTGCTTCTAAATATTTAAAGTGTTCATACAACCACTCACCCATGCACACACACAAATGCACACATACATATTTATTTTCAAATAGTATATATAAGCATTTCATACACACACACACACACACACACACAGACACAGACACATACCCACACACACAACTTATTAACCATTTTACAAAATGAACCCTACTAAGCATTGCTGCTATTAACTGCTAGGATCTGTTGTTTTCCCAACTTCCGTAAATCTGAAGACTTCTGTAATTCTCGTGAAGGGAATATTTGGATAAAAGCTCCTACTGCATATATAATAAAGTTTAAATCTGTTTTGGAGAAATACAGGCATATACAATGTAAACCCTGTGTCTAGAGCAGACATGTCAAACTCACGACGTCACGTGACATCACGTGACATATCAGAGCTTTTTTCCCATTGCCGGCAATGGGGTGGGCACGGTTTCCTGGTGATGCGTCCAGCCTATGGGCTGGCAGTTTGACACCCCTGGTCTAGAGGAAATGTTTCACCACAAAATCAAAATATTGAGTCTACAAAGTTATCATCATCCAACTGAATTATAAAATGGAATTATACTGGGATCAATTAAAAACTTCACTGCTAATTGGAAGAAGGAAGAAAGCCAATGTCTTACATGCCAAGTGTCACTTATTGTCTCTTTATATCGCTCCTCACAATACGTCTCCTTGATTGCTGTTTGCCTTTTCCAATGTATTATAGTCTTGAATGCTGGAGACTCTATTGTTTTATTTTGAACAACAACAGGTACAGCTGGTGTTACTAAAAGAAACACAAGAATGGCACATCTAATTTACAACAGTAGCATTATTAGCATCTTCCCAACATGCATATTTTAGAAGATTGTTCTTCTAGTTCAAAAGAAGTACAATAACACCTGCTATAGTTTCTACATCAGTTCATTTCTTAGGTGAGGGGTGTCAAACAGCCGGCCTGCAGGCCGTATGCGTCACGTGGAAGCTGTGTCCACCCCAGCTACAGCAAGGGGAAAAAGTCGCAATATGTCGTAATACATCATGTGACGCGGCGAGTTTGACACCCCTGTCTTAGATCTTTTGTTATATAGTTACTTTCCACAAAATACATTGTTTTGTTAATGCTTATAGATCGAGTCCCACTGTGCTTTCCAAATGCTGTCACTACCCTGAATGTTATTCTTATTTTGAGAGTTCACTTAATACCTATCGATGAATCTAATTCAAGAATTTTCACTAAGTAGTGAGACTTTTTTTTTTAAAAAAAAAGGACACTCAAATTTAATCTCCAGTTTCACCACTAGCGATTTATAGCATTTTCACTTCATTACCCAGACATTGCAGAAATAATACAAAGCCTGACCTCAATTCCTGTTATTTTAGCAAAACGGTCATTGAACGCTTGTTGAAAACACTGAAAATCACTAGTACAGAAATGACCTACCTTTCTTCAGCTCACATACTTAGAAACAGAAGAAAATAGAATTGTTCTTCATCAATACTTTTCAAAAATCACTCCAGTTCACATCATACATGGTACTACAACATATGACTTACTGGTGACAACCCTAACAATACTGGTGGATTTGAGACACAAGTGATCCAAACCCTATTCAACTCAACAATTTATAGAACACACATGGACACGTGCCATATGGAAATGCCTAATTTTGCTTTGGGTGAATCATATTTCCAATTCTCGCAGAAAAAAAAATGTGTCCAGTAGAGGCACTAATTTACAAAAGTAGGCATTTTCCTTCAGTTTTGCCATTGTTGTCTTGTGAGCTCTTGTGTCTTACAGCAGGATTGCAGTGTGATTGCACAGAGCAGGACAGACACTTAATCCCTTTTTGCTGCAACTAACAAAGTAGAAGAAATATGAATACTGAGATCCTGCAGTCTGGCACTTATGACTGCTTTGGGGAATATGTGTTGGGGTAGGGACAGAACATTGCTCTCTGGAACTCGTAACATGGATTTGAGACCAAGGAAGTCCTTTATTATGACCTTGTCATGGGTTTTGCCAGGCATGCAAAAATATAAGTAAGAGCATGGACATCTTTCCCAACGTGGAGCTCAAACTGAATTGACTTTAACTCCCAGAATTCTTGGTGGAGAGCTCATATTGGCTGGGGAATTCTGAAAATTGAAGTCCCTACATTCTAGAATTTCCAAGGTAGAGTAACATTGGTGTAGAGGAAGGTTGCTCTACAACAATAAAGTTTTTATGTTTTATATTTTTAGTTTCCGATGTCTGTTGGGCTTTCCCCATTTGACTCAGGTATGAATATTTAAACATCCTCATGCGACATTTGGTCTTTTAATTCTACTTAATTTATAAACTAAAAAAAATCAGAGTGATATTATCTCATGATATGTATAATGTCTGGCTCTCAAAATCATCATGGTCATAATTTATTCACTTTGTATGCCGCAGAAGTCTCAACAACTCTGAGCAGTTCACAACTGAACAAAGAAATAATAAAATGAAGGATCAGGGTGTCCAAGAATTTACTTTCCAAGTTTTAAGCTGCCACTTCTAAAATTCCTTTGAAAGTTTTTAGTATAAAAATACTAGTGACAAATTTCACGGAAACTGCAACATGTGTTTCTGGGGGAGGGGGAAATAGTTTTTCTTTTAAAAAAACCCTGAATCATATATTACCTATACTGTTGAGATCAACATGATGTTCCTCTGAACGAATTCCACCCAAGTAATTTTCAGCATGGACTGAGATGGAAAGAGTTTCATTTTTCTGTAGTTGATTCAATGGAATAATAACCGAGCTTCTGTTTGAGACAAATCCCTTGTTCTCTTCTGTGAATAAACTACAAAGATCAAAGAAGAGTTGAAATAAAAACGTATCTAGTTAAATATTTGAATGTGTAACTAAAACAAGATCTGTAAATATTGTTCTAGCAAAGTCATTGTTATTAGGGGTCAGCATGTTATAGTAGACTTTTCTTTTCCCCCTCACATGTTAAGCATAATCCAGCCACTGGTAATTTTGTTTAAATTCTACTGCTTTCAAAGGGAAGCTAGCTTTGGAATACAATACAGTCCTATAAAATATCAGCGCAACAAAAGTGATCATTTCCAAGGCCATGTTCAAAAAGAGAGAACAATCTGTAATTAAAAAAAATAGCAGAAAGATAATAAGTCTTATCCTGCCAGATAGTTTTTCCATTCCAAGATATTTTTTCTCCCTGCTGAAATACATGGAACTTAAAACAACTGTTCATTTCTCTGCCTAAAATTCAAACCAGCATTATAAATGTAGAAAGGGGCAAATAACTTATTTTAGGGATATTCTTGAGAGTTGTCTAAACAAATTAGGAATGTTTACTTTGTCACCTTTGAGTTAAAATCATTCTACATTGCTGTTTATCACCTTTTCTACCTCTCAAACCCACAGAAAACAGTTGGAAGCCCTGCAATTTTTCTCACTTCTATTAACCTAGAAATTAAAACAGTCAAAGAATATGATGAGTCATCCTATGTTTTCACTCCAAAAGATCAACCGCAGTTTGCAAAAATACATAATATTCTCAATGTCTTGACTCCTAAACTTTGGTGAAACAATTATTTGCTACTCCATGAAAATAAGTATTGTTAATACTTCATCAAAATTTAGATTACATAAAATATATATTTGGCTGTTTGCATAATATGCATTCTGAGGAGAAAGGAAAATAGGATTCTTGCTAATTTCAGCTTCTCACATCTAGGTTATTGTGTATCAAATAATAATTGCTAGGGCCATAAACCATCAAATTAGCCTGAACTGGGAGCTTCAGACAAAATGCATTTATCTGATCATAGTTCAGAAACAGCATGTTCCTTCAAGCCATCATGCCATCTTTCCCCTTTAAGAGCTTGTGAATAGGATGCAATGTTGGTTGGCATTCAGGGAAACTGACTGAAAAAACAGTTGCCACTAATGGTAATAATAAAAAGACACGTCAGAAGCTCTACTCAAGTTTCAGCACTGGCAGTAGACAGCTTGCCCCCTTCCTCCAATTTCACTGCCCAGTTATCATGAGGGTCTGATAATATGGGACATAGAACAGGGGTCTTCAAGCTTGGCCCTTTTATGACTAGTGGACTTCAACTCCCAGAATTCCTCAGCCAGCGTGCCTGGCTGAGGAGTTCAAGTCCACAAGTCATAAAAGGGCCAAATTTGAAGACCCCTGACATAGAGGCTCAGAGCTGCTTGAAAAGCTGAAAATAAAGTCTGGGTGGAATGATGAAAGAATGAATACTATAAAATTAAAGATATTGCTGAAGAAACCTTACAGTTTCTACTATATAGAGAGGTCTCCATTGTGAAAGCCAGAACTGCCTTCAAATGTAGCAGTAGCAAGACCATAGTGAGATACAGTATCTCACTGCTGGAATGAGAATATCTGCTGTGCATGATGACCTCTTTCCTTCTTGACCATGTACAGCCAGCATTAAGGAGATGGCAGCACTGGAAATCTTTCTGACTATCAATCAAAGGAATAGCCACCTCCTTTTCAATGTCATTTCCTTGTATGTTCTTTCTAGGTAAGCAAATACTGCTTTAAAAGGCCAGCTCTTTCCATCTCTCTCGTTCTCACCATATTTCTTAAACCATAAGAAGGCAGTGAAAATCCCATTCAACTTAAGCAATACCCTTTATTTTGGCTTCTATTTTTATACAAATATTCACTTCATTTGTCCAGATGTCAGCTTTCATGCGGTAGGAATAAACTTCAAAAATATGAAAATATGAATTAAAAAATATTGATTCTCAAAACTGAATTAATGTTCTGTATATAATGACCCTTTTAACCAATGTATTTGTCCAGATGGCAACTTTTATGGGACAGGACTAAACTTCAAAAACTACAAAATCTCAAAATATTGAATCTCAAAATTGGATTAATATACTGTATGTAATAACTCCTATATCAAATGGAGCACCTGATGGATACTGCAGAAACACATTTAAATGAAATATTCATTTCATTGTTTTTCCAACAACATAATTATTTTCATATGGAGCTCCTATAAATCTAAAATATTTTTTACTTTTGAAAAAGATGCAATGTAAGAACCTATTGAAGTTCAATTAACACCTTTTAAAAATTCTTTTGACATTTATTCCTATCACATGGAATTTAATATCTGGTCAGATAAAATGGATTATCACTTCCCTACTTGCAACTACTATAGAAGGCATGTTATTCAGCATTAGAAAGATAAACATATGGTCCCAGCTATCAAATATACTACAGAAACAGTGTTATCAACAATGTATGAATCAATAGCAATAGCACTTAGACTTATATACCTCTTCACAGAGTTTTATAGTTCTCTCTATGCCAGCGGTTCTCAACGTTTGTGTGACGGCGACCCCCGTCACACAAACGTTATGCGCATGCGCGGCGCGGCGTGCATGGGGGCGGGGGGCCCGCGCATGACGCGCATGCGCGGCGGCGCCCCCACGCGCGGCGCTCATGGGGCGGCCCCCCCACGTGCGGCGCGCATGCGCGGTGGCGCCCCCGGAGGCGCGCCGCCGCCCCCACGCGCGGCGCGCATGCGCGGTGGCGCCCCCGGAGGCACGCCGCCGCCCCCACGCGCGGCGCGCATGCGCGGTGGCGCCCTTCGGAGGCGCGCCGCTGCCCCCATGCGCGGCGCGCGTGCGCGGCATCACCCCCCCGGAGGCGCGGCGCGCCCCCGGAGGGGACAAAATTGCGGGTCGCCGCGTTTGGCGACCCCACAAAAGAGGTCGATCGACCCCAAATGGGGTCGCGACCCACAGGTTGAGAACCGCTGCTCTATGTGGTTTACAGAGTCAGCATATTGCCCCCAACAATTTGGGTCCTCATTTTACTAAGCTCAGAAGAATGGAAGGCTAAGTCAACCTTGAGCTGATGAGGATCAAACCCCTGGCAGTCAGCAGAATTATCCTGCAATACTGCATTCTACATAGATTAGGTAAGATTGATTATAATAAATGATTTCCATTAACTGAAATGTTTATTTGACAACTTTTATGCACTCCCTTTGTTGTTTTTTTTATTTTAGCTCCCCCCCCTTTCTTTATAGCAATAGCAATAGAATTGAGGCTTATATACCTCCCCATGGCACTTTACAGCACTCTCTGGGTGGTTTACAATGTCAGCATTATTTGCATATTGCTCCCTAACTTTTCTGGGTTCTCATTTTACTGACCTCCGAAGGATGGAAGGCTGAACCAACCTTGAGGCCTGTCAGGATCGAACTCCAGGCGGTGGGCAGAGTTTGTATGCAATACTGCACTTTAACCATTGTGCCACCATAATTTTGGATATTCTTTTTTGTTATACGGTTAATAAAAGCAGAAAAAAAGTCAGCTTGCAAAATATACAAGGCCAATCAAGTTATTTTGGCCTCTGAGAGAGACAACCTTGCAGTGTTGCTGCCTTTTTCTAGGTACCAAAAAGCAGGTGTCTGCAGTGGCTATCTTACTCTGACCAATAGTGGGATAAGACCTGTAGTCAGGGATCTATGAAGGATAACTTGCCCAAAAAACTTCCAAACCTGGCACAGGTTTCATGGCCATTGCACACAACAGCTAGCCCAGTTAGCCTAGGCCAGGGGTAGGCAACCTTGGCTCTTTTATGACTCGTGGACTTCAACTCCCAGAATTCCTGAGCCAGCAACCTACCCCAGGCCTAGCGGGTGGCCATATTGCAACCATGATGAGGACTCTTAATCAAATACATGTGAAGATAACTGACTGGGAGAGGCTGCTGCAATACATTGCCTTGTTCTCAGGAAATTAACAAAACCATAAACTTGGGAGGTGCTGTATCTCATTAGTGCTGCCAGACTTGCATAAAAGTGTGTGTTGTATATCAAGTCAAAGGCACTTATTTTGTTATTGCCTTAAACTTGAATTAAAAATAGGCTTTGTGACCTCTTTTTTTGCAGAAAATGTAAGTGGGTCACGTTTTTCTTTTTCACTCATCAGAAGTATGGCATTAGTACGTTTGACCTTGGTTTGTGGCTCCGAGCTGGGAAACCACAGCACAATTACCATTTTGTCATATCTTAAAAGTTTGATTTGAAATTGTAGTTAACCTAGTTTTAGGAGTAGACTTTACATGACAGGCAAATACATATCACAAAGTCCCAGCCATGCTGTTGGTTGAGTTCTGTTTGCTTGTTTTAATAAAAACTGGACTCTGCTGGCTACATTTGTCAACGGAGGAGCGACAGTATGCTTAATGATATCCCTGCAGTTGATTTTGCCCATAAAATTCTATCCCAATCCACTCTTCCAATGATTCCTGGCACAAATTTATGTTTGTATTTTTGTTTACTCCAGAAACCAGCTAGCGGGTGGGTATATAGTAAAATGCCTAGTGATTAAACAATCCCTTCCTTCCCACTGCTCTGCTGGTCAAAAGGATGGTCTATGATCAGGGTGACAAACTGTCAGCCTGCAGGCCAGTTGCATCATGCGGAGGTTGCACCCACCCCAGCTCTGGCAATGCGAAAAAAGTCACGATACATCGCGACACATCACATGACGCAGTGACTTTGACACCCATGGTCTATTATGATGTTGATCTTTACAGAAAAAATCACTAAGCATCTCATCCTCAGTATAGTTAACATGAATAGTGAAGCTCAAAACCTAGATCACAATAAATGAGAGATAAACTAATGAAATTTGTTAATTGCTGCTGCTTCTCCTACCAGATATTGATGTAAGTTTCCAGAGCACAGAGGATCCCTGGATGATATCCACTGAACATCAATGCTTTTTTTTTTTTTTAAAAAAAAAAAAACTATCTCAAAAAACCATCCAGAAATAATGAAAAAAAATTGATAACTGAAACCACACACTTTAAATAGTATTCTGACTATGTTTTAATTAGATTTGTATTCTAAAATGTTCAGAAGAAGATAATTATTATTAGTATTACATGTGTGTATGTGTGTGAGTATCCCTGTGTATTTGTGGAGGGAGGGAGGGAGGGAAGGAGAGAGAGAGAGAGAGAGAGAGAGAGAGAGAGAGAGCACTTTTTTATCCAAAGGACACTTAGGCAGCTGATAATTGAAAATAAAAACATTTTAAGATCTAATAAGAAGCTAATTAAGTAAGTAATTCAAAATAAAAGGACACAAACTGAAGTAAAAGATCTCAAAACTTCCCTTAAAACAGAAAGAAGGGTGTCTGAGCCCATTTTTGGTATTATTTCATTCTTGTTTTTGTGATTTATCAAGAATCGCTTTAAAAGTAAAAAAGTTTTAAATTATATTTTAAAAAGAAATGAAAAGTGATCAAAATCTTGGGAGTCTACCAAATCTTGCAAATTCTCTGTTTCTTGCAGGAGATCTCATAGGGTGTCAGGTAAGAATATGCAAGCTCTAGTGAAACTTCAGATATTTCATTTTTATTCTGGAACACTCACAACATTGTACAAAATTGTGTGATCATACCAATCATCTCTAAAGGTTGTTGATCCTTGATATAAAATGTCTGGCTAGGGATAAAGGCTGTTCTTACCTTTTCACATACAGAATGTAGCTAGTGTTTAAGTGTGTTGTCTTCCCTGGGTTCCAGGTGCAGACCACATTATTTGATTGCTCAGGTTTAATGCAGGTTAAATTGGCTGGTTTGTCAGGCAAATCTACAAATCACAGAGTTTGTAAGATTATGCTGATTGAAAAACATACCCAGAAAAATATGCAGTCATGACTCTCTATTGAATAAACATTTCCTCGCTGTCTCCTTTGCATTTAAAATGAATTTATTCAAAGTGGCTTCAAGTCCCCTTTTCCTCTAAGACAGGGGTGTCAAACTGCTGGCCCACAGGCCAGTTTCATCATACCGGAGCCGCGCCCACCCCATTGCTGGCAATGGCAAAAAAGCTCCGAGACGTCGCGAGTTTGATATGCCTGCTCTAAGATGTGCCTATGGACACATTTGCTTCAATTTGAATAAGATTCATTTGAAGACCTTCAATTGTCCTCTGTAAATATAATTGATAGTCTAAATCAGTGTTTCCCAAACTTGACAATTTTAAGGCATGTGGACTTCAACTCCCAGAATTCCACAGCCAGCGTTGCTGGCTGTGGAATTCTTGGAGTTGAAGTCCTCATGCCTTAAAATTGTCAAGTTTGGGAAACACTGGTCTAAATCAAGGGTACGCAACCTTGGCTCTTTTATGACTCGTGGACTTCAACTCCCAGAATTCCTGAGCCAGGGAATTGAAGTCCACAAGTCATAAAAGAGCCAAGTTTGCCTACCCCTGGTCTAAGTGATTTTACAATGCTTTGTATTTGTCACAAATTACTTTCTTGTCTAGCAATTCATTGTCATAAAAACATTTAATTGCTTTGGAGCTAACATTTTTTGTTATGTAGTCTCTGAAATTATATCAATACTGGTCTCTTCAGAAAGTGTCAAAAAAATATTTCCTAGTAACTGGTTTCCAGGACTGAGTGTCACCCCGCCCTATCATTCTGACAATATAAAGGATGTCCCCATGATTCTACTATTGGCATAGCAATAGTTTGATGATGCAATAAAACACTATAAATGATCCACAAGGAAATGGCTATAAGCACGGTCGTTTTTCATCAGCTTCATGATTGAATTGGGACGTCGTGTGTTGGCTTTCAAGTAAAAGTGGAGAATTCTCTTTCTGACTCTTAACTATTTGTCTTAACTATCTTTAATTAGGATTTCCCACTACTTCTCCAATGTTTATATCTAGAAGATATATACAATCAGTCCCAATTAATATGAAACTGCTGTCAATATCATTTCTACCTATTGTAAAAAATTAGATACATGGGCCAAAATTATTGTTGGCAATGCTTGTTTATCATTTCTTTGGAAATAAACCTGGAATCCTTAACCTGGAAGCATACAATGTAACTTATTTGGACTATGCAGGTTTCAGATTGGTGTTTATGTCTTACCGACATTGAAGATGTTTACTTCAAAGCAGGTGTAATAAGAATACAAAATGTACATATTTACTCAGAATTAAGTCCCATTCATTTTGTTCCACACAGCTCGCTCCCTTAGTTTAGATAATGCTTGGACTACAAACCAAGCTACAAGCTCTCCTGAAAATGAGCTATTTTTTTAAAACAACAACAACCATGTATCACCTCAAAAGCTTACCTTTAAATCTATTTGATTATCCCAAATTAATTAAGATGTTCTAGAACTGCACAGTTCATGCCGCATAGCAATGATACTTACATCCCATGCAAAACTGTGTTCCACATATCAGTCGGCTTCCGGAACTTTTGAGATAGCATGAAACTATAGAAAAGGGCTCATTATAATTCTGAAGTTTGAGCTGAACTGTAGTTTGATTTATAACGGACAGGAGTGTATCCTCGACATTGGCGTTATTTAAGCTCAGAGATAGTACCCCTTTCTGACAGTTGTTTTCCATGCAATGACAATTTATAGAAACATTATGGCCCATTTCAATGATTGGGGCTGGTTCTATCCATACACGCCCAGAACAGTTTATGATACCTGAAAAGAAACATGGGGAGAGAGGATTACTATGAATACTTTAGCAATTCATTAGAGGTAAATTCTCCATGTTTTGTGTAGCCTAACCTCGCTGGGCATGCGCAAAGAGCATACAGCTATGGGGCTAGTTATTGTCCTGAAAGACCTTTTCTGACTTTCACTAAATTGTTAATATTGCTGGCCTCTTTCAAATTTTATATAAAGTTTTATGTTTTTTTAAATATTTTATTTGTGCATTGCTCAGAATCCCTCTGTGAGGGAGAGTGGCAGTTTTAAAATCTGATAAATAAACATGAATAAATAATCTTTTAAAAGTATTTACCTAATCCCAGAGACATTCTAGGAATTAATACTGGAGGTTGGCATTTTGCTTGACAAAAGGCTTGTTCCTTTTTAAACAAACAAATGAACAAATATTTAAATGTAAGAGTGAGATGGAGCAGGGAACCAGTGCACACGAAGGAAATAACTTAAGGGTACAATGCATCCTTGGGACCAAGTTGAGTCTAGTAGAATTACTGTAGCTAGTAAAATGCTGATTGGCTGGATTAGGAACATGAGAGTCATGGCTATACACAGGAAAGGCAAATAATGTAATGTGCAGCATAACATTATAGCATTAGTGTTATACTGCACAAAAATTGTATGCAGGGCTGATACAAACTACATACTTTGTGGTTTTTGCACAATTATGTCGTGATATGTGTGACATCAGTATGGGTCCTTCTACAGCCTGTGATGGAAGATACATTACATTGAGTCAAATCATTGACTTATTGTGCCCGGAATTACCAATATTCATTGGCAGTAGTTTTCTGGGATTTCAGCTGTATTTAAAGGTGATAAAGACTGACTTCTTGCTGTAAAGCATACACTTTACTACTAAACTATGCTTTTTCTTACAACAATCTGCAATTTATTTTTATACTCCTGCCTAAAATAGTGCCACGTTTAAATATAATAATGAACTTCTGCTTTTTTTGAATATTTCATAAGCAGGAAGGCAAAAACCCATAGCAATTTTGAAGAGGAATGTGTGGTTTGTCATATAACTAGAGTTGATTCCAAAAGAGGAAGAAAGAAATCATAGTTTCCTTTAGCCAGATGTATGTACCCATAACAATTCCAATAAACCTTTTTAATTGGTCACACCAATTTGGACTGATAGAACTGTAGCCCAAAACCTCTAAAGCAGGGGTCCCCAACCCCCAGTCCATAGATCAGTAGCGGGCCGTGGCATGCCAGAAACCGGGCTGCACAAACTAGCAAAGCCCCATCTGTGGGATGCAGGCAGCACCCAAACCACGCCCCCTCCAGTCCGCAGAAAAGCTTGTCTCCACGTAATCGGTCCCTGGTGCCCCAAAAGTTGGGGACCTCTGCTCTAAAGGATATTGGATTGCTTCTTTCTGAATACATGATTTTTAAAAATGTTCTATTAATTGAAGCGTGTGAGAATAAAATGCTTTGATATTACTAAATTGGTGCCTCTTGACATTTAGCCAAGAAGACATATTGTTTTTGAAAAATTAAAATTCATGCCTCCTTAAGTTCATCTCATTATCAAATTAAGCCTAGTTCCAATATAAAAGATGATTGTAATCAAGAATTCTTGTTAGCTGGATTGAATCTTCAGCTCAGTCACACCCTCTTGATACCATAATTTATTCTTTGTGTAGCATAAGGGATACTTCCAACTCATCCTTGCTCATCTATGGTTTTGCTACAGAACCCCATCAAATGCATCACTATTTAATAGTTAAATGTATTGGATGTTCATATTTATTTACGTTTACTTTGGTATTGATTTTATTTGCTTGTAAGTTAAATCCTCGTGTCTGCAAGCCACATTATATTCAGACATTTAATAGGGTGTTAGGATTCCCTACTAATTCTCCCTCTCTCCCCACCTGATTATAAGTAGTCCTTGACTTATAACCATTTGCTTATTGACTCTTTGAAGTTACAGCAGCATGGAAAAAATGGCTTGCAACAGTTTTTCAACTTACAATTGTTGCAACATCCCAATAGTCATGTGATCAAAATTTGAATGCTTGGTGACTGGTTCATATTTATGATGGTTGCAGTTTCCCATAGTTATGTGATCATCTCTTGTGACCTTCTGCAAGCAAAGTCGGGGGGGGGGGAGCCAGATTGACCTAACAACCATGTTACTGACTTAACAACTACAGTGACTGACTTAATAACTCTGGGCAAGCATGGTCGTAAAATGGGCTCAGTTGTGGTTATAAATTGAGACTACCTGCATTTAGTTTCTCCCAATTCCTACAGGATATAATACTTACCTGGCCCTTTAGGTAAGCACCGATGAGAAAGAAGGCTTTGGGGAATCTTACAGAAAAGTAAGTTTAAAACCAACAATACTTTAGATATTCCCATGATCTGGAAGAAGTTGGACCTTTGTCAAAAGACATTGTCTAAAAGAAAAAACCACAATATGATTTTCTCTACCAATATTGCTTTAAAAATATTTAACATAACACTACCAAATTGTTGAATGGGGAAGACAAAGTTAGCTTTGGAAATACATTTCTTCATTCTTTTTTAAACTCTCTATTTAGCTTCCCATATTTCTCCTTAACAAAAAATCAGTACTACAGTGTTGGTTTTACTACTAAGATATTTTTGAACAACTTTTAAGGACAGCAAATATTGTTTCAAACATTTTATTCTGCTTGTCAGCAGCTATAGAAAGATATTACTATTTTAAGTTAAGCGGATATTTTTTTTATTTTAAGATAAGTATCAAAAATGCTATGAGATTAAGAGTTTCTAGGCAAGGCTAGAAAATTAGGCAATTGATTTACAGATCTTACAAAGCTGCTAACATCATCCCAAAGAAAGATAAAAAAAGAAGAATGACATTCTTGAGTATATACAAATTTTACAACTAAAAAGTTGCACCATTTTTTTTTTTTAAAAAAAGATTAAGAAGTGAATTGTTAAGGTTCTTCAAAGTCAGAATCTCTTGAAAGTCTCAGAATATTTGATTTGGATTATCTGAACCTATATTGAACCAATATGGCCACAGGTTTGTTCTGGAAAGTGTGAATCATAAAACAGAACATTTTTAAGTATTTATAAGACCAGCATCAGAACAAAAATGGCTGGCCTGAGCACATAACCATCCAAAGTATGCTTATTAGACAGCAACTTTTGTTAATATCTCTTTGAAGGAAAACAAACTTAAAATTTTACTTTTGCCAACATGTTTACTGATTTTTGATAGACATTTATTTTATAAGCCTAAGATGATTCTGAGGGGTCATTGATACTTTCTGAGCTTGGTTGTTTTCTTGCAGATGTTTCATTACCCAAACAATGCATTGATGATATTACCTAGTTTGGGTACTAAAATATCTGTAAAAAAAACCAACTAAGCTCAGAGAGCACCAATGTCCCTCATTTCAGTTCTGAACTACAAATATTCTCTTTCATTGGTAAGATGATACTTTTCTTATTTATTTCATTTTTCTTCACCTTTTTCTCTCCAGGAACAAAATATGACTTTACTTCTTGTCCTCTAATCTTATATCACTAACATCTTTAGATACATTCGATAGAAAATTGTGACTGGCCCCAAATGACTCAGAATACCTCACAGTTTAGAGAACATTTGAACCTGTTGTCTCCAACCTAATCTGATGTGGTGGCAAATACTGGGTTTCCCTTCAGCAAAACCTCATACAGGTAGTCCTCGATTTACAACCTCAACTGAGCCCAAAATTTCTGTTGTTAAGCAAAACATTTGTTAATTGAGTTTTGCTCCATTTTATGACCTTTTTTTCCCCAGTTATTAAATGAATCACTGCAGCTGCTAAGTCAGTAACACGGTTATTAGGTGAATTTGGTTCCCCCCATTGATTTTGCCTGTAGAAGGTCACAAAAGATGATCGCATGACCCCAGGACACTGCAACCGCCATAAATGTGAGTCAATTACCAAATGTCTGAATTCTGATCATGTGACCATGAGGATGCTGCCACTGTCGTGAGGGTGAAAAATGGGCATTACTTTTTTTCAGTGCTGTTGTAACTTCGAAAGGTCACTAAATGAACTTTTATAAGTCGAGGGCTACCTGTATATCTCCTCAATAATTTTATCTTTATGATTTTTCTTAATTTATCCAAAATGATATACAGCAAAACTGAATGTAAATTGCAAGATCCTTGCCCTGATTTTAAAAACCTTGTTAGAATGGCTGCTTTACAGTCTACTGGTACAAAACCAATCTTTGAAAGTTGCTTCGTCTTTTGATTAGAACATTGACTCCTTTTCACATTGGAATAATTGAAGCAATTTTATAGCTTGATATTATCTGGACCCGATAGATTTGTCCCCCCCACTCTTTATCAAGTAGAATGAATCTGTTGTCGGGATAACCATCCACATAGTTTATCTTCTTGGCAAAAGTTTAAGCACCGTCCAACATTTTCTGCAGTGAAGACCAATGCAAAGAGTTCAGCTTCTTTGCAATTTTCTTATTCTCTTTTAATGCATTTTTGTTAAACGTGCTGGAACTCCATCCCCCATTAATGGCTAGATAGCTAAATAACTTTAATTATTATCATTTTTGCATTTCTCCTTACATTTTTTGTGTACTTGCTTACTAGCCAATCTTAATGGATCCCAATCCTTGCCCTGCCATGCACTGTGTTCTCATTACTATGTTAGACATTTTGTCATAGAAGATAAGCATATATTTGAAATTGCCTCCCTAGATCTTCCCAGAAATCTAGGGAGGGAAATTTGCAATGAAAGTCAAAGCTGATCTGATCACATGAATACTACTCCCCCAAACAGGTGAAGATTACTTCATTTTTGTTGTATTATCCTAGAGCTGTTACAATTTAAGGAGAAAGGATTGGGTGCTTGGTGATATACAAAACAGTGGGATAAAGATTATTTAAATCACAGAGATAAGAAGGTCAATGTCATCTAAACATAGAGGAAAGTTGGAGTTGCCAGGCTGCTTTACTTATATTGTAAATTTCTAGGGAGGAAAGGCTTTGAGTTTTTTTTGTTCTCCTTGTTAATGCAAGATTTATTTTTTCTGAAGGAACCATTTTCTCTCATTCATTTGTTCATTTGGCTTGGAAATCATGCCGAAGAATTCCTGAACATGATATCTTTCCATTTCTGTATGTTAGACTCTAGCAGCTGAAGGTCTATTAGTTTAATATTTCTTGAGAGATCTGAATGCTTTGACTTCCCCCTTTAGCTTTCGTTTTATCAATATTCAGTGGTTTTTTTTCAGTTTTCCATTTTGGAAAACCAGTATCACTGGCAATCTCCTAAATGTATCACTTTTGGCAACTGACTCAGTAGCAATTACTTCATGGTAGAAGATGAGAGCATCTAGGATTTAGATAAGGATCCAGTGCTTTTTTTTTCTAAAAAAAAAAAAAAAGGTGCCAGAACTCACACACATCATACAACCTACCTTGCCTACCCTACAAGGTTCCATCCAAAAAAGGTGCCGGAACTCCGTTCTGGGCGTTCTATGAGAAAAAAAGCCCTGTAAGGATCTGTTCCCTTTAGTTGATTTCTTAACAGATTTTTCTATGATAACAATTGCTTTTTATGACAAAGACATAAATTTCTCTCTCAGATTCAGGAAGAAGGCAATGGCACCCATTTCTGAAAAACCTTGCCAATAAAACTGCAGTGACTTCTCCCAGAAGTTGCTAAGGGTCAACAGTGACTCGGAAAGGAAAGGAAAGGAAAGGAAAGGAAAGGAAAGGAAAGGAAAGGAAAGGGGAAAGGGGAAAGGGGAAAGGGATTGACTGCTATAGATATTGGCTTTTCTTTTATAGCTCAATATATAAAATCCTTTTTTACTCTTGTATTTACTGGGAAGAAACAGTTTAAACGTGGTTGTATTTATTCTAGTTCTTTTTTTAAAAAAACAAGTTTTATTAGTTTTTTCATTTTACAAACCAGTGCTTAAGAATCACTGTGGTGGCAGGGCAATCAATTGTCCAAATACAAAATCATACTCGTAAAGATCAAATTAAATCATTAAAAAAAATGCACCCCTCTCTATTCCCTCTAGTAGTATATTATATTCAAGTTAATATATTTCAGTACAACTAAGTCAGTCAAAACAGTCATCAATAAGATTTCATCTAAATAAATCCAAATCCTATATTAAGCTTTACTATTTCAATTGCTATATTCCATATTGGTATCATAAATACATAATTAACACTTCAAATGTCTCTCCATACCTTTTTTTCCATTAACACAATCAATATTCATTTATTAATAACATTCCTTCTTTTTTTTTAATCAGTAACATTTCATCTAAATAAGTCCAAATCCTGTATAAAGCTTTACTATTTCAGTTACTATCTTCCATATTGTTACTCTAAATACATAATTAACACTTCGGGTGTCTCCCCATTCCCTTTTTCCATAACATAATTAATAAACATTTGTTTATATCATATCTTCTTTTTTTCTTTCTTATTCTTCTTCCATTACAAAATAGCTATCATTCCTAATAGTAAAAATATTAATTCAAAAAAGAAAAGAGAAAAAGAAAAAAAAACTATCACTCCCTCAATACCTGTGTCAAATTCCTTTAACCTCCTCCCAAATTTACTATTACCACAACAAACCTATTAATATATAGACAAATGTCTTCTTATTAAATTCAAATCTTAAATTAATTTTTATTCAATCTAACATCTTATTTAATCATCTTAAGCCATAAATCAATCCATATCTAGTAAGCCTTAAAATCCAATATATAGAACCTTAGATCAAAACTCTTAAATCTTATTCTAGGTTTCTTTTTATGCAAAACAGGTTTCCATAACACTGCATCTATATCAATGAATAAATCACTTTTTATGCCTTGTAGTATCCTTTGAGTCAAACAAGAGCGTCTCCTTTTATGTTTTAAAGACCTAGCTTGTTTGTAAGTAATCCCTTGTTGTTTTAAAGAGTCAAGTCTCCACATTTGAAACTGTTGAATAACAGGCTCAATTATGACCAGTTTTGTAGTTGCCATAGTTTTCAGTTAGTTGAGCTTGTCTGTTCATTTCTGTTAATTTTAAAGTTGTAAGTGGTTCAGTTACAGTTCTTTTTGGTTCCTCGGAGATCTCATCAGCAAGCGTATAAAATAAGGTAGAATCTTCTTTGATCTTAGTTGATTCCGCTTCTGTTGTTTTTTTTATCTATAAAATACTCAGATGTAGTCTGGGGGTCAGTTTGTAAGTCCAAAGCAAAATGTCTGTTTTTTTATTGCCATAGTACACTCTTTTATTTGGAAACGTATTTGGTCAGTAGCTTCATAAGGTTTTTCCAATACAAGTTTATAGTCAAGTTGAACATTAGATTTCTCCATTTCAAGGAAAGTTAGAAACAATCTGTATCTTTAATAGAGGCTGTGTTCAAAGAACATTTAATCAGTATCCACCCCCACAAATACAGCTGTTGAATTTCTTTGTCTTTTCCTTTTTATGGTAGTCTGAAGGTCAAAGCCAATCTCACCAACAGAAAAAGAAATAGTACAACTTTAACTTTATCCACAAGGTGTCCTCAGTAGAATATAAAATCTCCTCCCAGACACCAGAAATATCATTAACAAGATCAGAAAACGTAGAAAAAAATATAATTCTTCAGATGTAGACAAAGTCCAATAGTAAATAATATTCAATATTAAAAAGATTTTCCAAGACCTCAAAGTGAATAAAAAATAAAGTAAAAATAGAGAGAGAAAAATTAATTCAATCCATAAGCTTCTTTTTCCCACACTCACTAACGCCGCTTTGTCAGAGCAGGGAAATGATTTCAAAAGTGCTTTTTACAGGCACACACACACACACAAAAAAAGGAGAACCAAGAGAGGAAGAGAAAAAAGTCTCATCTGGCTCAGCCATGGTGGTTCCTGTGCTTAGATGTTCTTCTGACTTCTGGTTTCAGGCAGCTAAGTGAGCGGCCATTTTACTGGCCGCTCTTTCCACTGACGGCCCAAAGAAACAATCTTGGTCCTTGGAAGAAGCTGCCACTCTCCCAAGGATGATGAGGATCTCCTCACTGGTAGCTGCCCCTCCAAGGCGGCTTTTTGACCTGATTAAGAGTCTATGGGCAGCGGAGAATCAGGTGGCGAGGAGAGCAGTCTCATTGCGCAGCTGCGAGCGCCGTGATCCGGAACCAGAAGTCCTATTTATTCTAGTTCTTAATATATATATAGGAATAAAATCAATTTTATTATAAATATACTTCATTTATATTGAGTAGTATAACATAAGGACCAAGAACTGGCACAATTCAAATAGATTCAGCTGTATCTGCAATCTGAAAAAGTAGAGTTTGCATCTAGGTACATTTGCATGCCATGCGCATTTGCAAGAGAATCAACACAGTTAACTAGGAAGGAAAAGGCTGTAATCAAGCAGTATCTGCTCAAAATGCTTCATAAAAATATTTTCAACACAAAAGATTAGATGAACAAAACCGAACCTGTATTTTGGAAAAAAGCAATATACTACTTAAATGTGGAAAACAGAAGACTTACATTAACTTAATGTAAATTAAACGTTCACCCCTTCTCATTTATTAATTTGTCTCAGATGTTAAAAATAATCAAACACAATTTGCTGTAGAGGATTTGCAGATCTCTCTCTCTCTCTCTCTCTCTCTCTCTCTCTCTCTCTCTCTCTCTCTCTCTCTCTCTCTCGAAAAGAAGAACTCATAGCTTCATTGCTTCAATTATTTGAACATATTTTTACCTTTTTCTTCATCCGGCCACGTGTCTCATTTCTGTGTTTGAACTTGATTTCACTACTAAACAGGTGCCGAATGAAAGTCTTATTTCTTACTGCATGTCTTTTAGAATTCACTGCTAGAAGCACCAATAGAAATAGAGGAGAAAAAAAGCAGCTTCTTAGTCATGACCTACTTGAGTAAGAACCTTTTAAGACTTTAGTGTTTCTTGCTTAAGAAATCTTCATTTTGTGAGTCACTCTGTGGGGAAACCCACAATTCTCAAAGGTCTACTGCTTTCTCCCCACTCCTCCCCTGCCCTCCAGATCCTATCAGTTCACTCTGAATAAAGTTAGTTCTGTATTTATAGTACAGAGCTAAAACTTCATTTCTGAGAACTTGAAAACAAGGATTTGGTCAATTTGTTTGATCAGAATTACTATATAGTATCTTTTTCTTTGTAACGTTTGTTAGTAGCAAAATAACTAACATTGGCACAAAACTATTGTCAAGGCTACTTCCAAACAGCAATAAGAAAGGCCAGCTTTTTGCATAGTATGTATGTATATTACAAAACACATAAAAATGAACATAAACTAACAGAGCAGAAGCAGTAAAGAAAGGAAAAAATATAAGCAAATGTATAGAAAGAATCTAAAAGAAAAAATAGAAAACATAAGCTATTTCCTTTTGCAGCAAAAGTAAGTACATTTACAAAGTTCTCTCTTACTCTGATTATAGAAAAAAACCCACCTCACTTTTTTTATTATCTAACTTTTTTTCTAATCATCAGAACCATCTTTTTGCTTCATACAAAAGCTCTATAGAAGATTTTCTAGTCAAACATAAATGTAGATTTTCTCTCTCGAAGAGGTTAATTTAGCCACTTCTGCAAGTTCCATCATCTTCATCAATCATTCCTCTGTTGTAGGTTAGGTCAAGCCTTTCTATTTTTGAGCATATAATAGTCTTACTTTAGTTGTTATATATAAAAACAGTTCTGTGACTTTAAATATTTTAAATAAGTATATCATTATTTTTCTCTTGCATCTTGAGGAACAGCAAAGCCACTAAAAACTGTGCTATATTCTATGGAATGTGGAACATTAACTTCAGAGCACTTCTGTTGATATCTTAGAGTCGGAAAAAAAAATACTGGACATGACAAATTTGCATACACAAGAGGAACAGCAACTCCACAGTAAATGCTTAGTGTGGAAACACTGCCATGTGATATTTTATGGGTATATAACAAGTTGTTTTATATACTTCAGAGTTACATAGAATTTCTCAAAGGATCATAGGGTGTCATGGTGATAGTGAGTCCATGCTTTATTGATTTATTTTCTGAGGCTGGATGGTTGTTTTGACTTAAAAGAACTTGTTAAGTTCAAGAGGGAATGAATTAACCCATTTTTGAGTGTTTAACATTTGGTTGGTGGCAGGATGTATAATGCACAAAAGTGAGACCTAATTGTAGTTCTTAAAATGCTGAACTCAAGTCTATGAAATTCCAGGTTAAAATTATCTTCAGCCAGGTAAGTAAGTAGGTAGGTAGGTAGGTAGGTAGGTAGGTAGGAAGGAAGGAAGGAAGGAAGGAAGGAAGGAAGGAAGGAAGGAAGGAAGGAAGGAAGGGAAAGAAGGAAGGAAGGAAATTAGACCTGTGCGTAACATGAAAAATATATGTTCTTTCAAAACTGAAATATACACACTATATTCTAAAAATTCTATCATGCAGGTGGGATACAGTTCAGCCAAACCAAATTCTAGTATATTTTGGTTATCCCAGATTTTGCCCAAAATCTAGAACAATGTTTTCCAACCTTGGGCACTTGAAGATGTGTGGACTTCACCTCCCAGAGTTCCCCAGCCAACAATGCTGGCTGGGGAATTCTGGGAGTTGAAGTCCACAGGTCTTCAAGTGCCCAAGGTTGGGAAATACTGATCTAGAAGATTCTTATAGAGTCAGCAAGCTGGTGTGCTTTTTATCTCTTTCTCATTCTTCTCTGCCAGTTTGTTCTCCAATCTCTTCAGCATTTTCTTTTCCTGTCTCTGCTTACTCCTCCCATTGCCAATGTCCTTGGATTTTTTTCCTGCTCCTCTCCAAAACAGCTCAGTGGAACATGCAAGTTTTGCTCCATGCCTGAAATCAAACATGCATGTTTTAGCCTAAACATGGACCAAGTGGCAATAGCTGATCCACTTGGAGAACAATCGTGCACATTTGCAGGCCAGATCTCTGTGGAATACATATGACCTATTACCTAATGAGCTGTGGTGGTGCAGTGGTTAGAATGCAGCACTGCAGGTTGCTTCTGCTGACTGCTGGCTGCCAGCAGTTCAGCAGTTTGATTCTCACCTGCTCAAGATTGACTCAGCCTTCCATCCTTCCATGGTCAGTAAAATGAGGATCCAGATTGTTGGGGGCAACATGCTGACTCTGTAAACCGCTTAGAGAGGGCTGTAAAGCACTGTGAAGCAGTATATAAGTCTAAATGTTATTGCTATTAGAAACTACAGTTAATGCGGCAAAATCTACTCCATAATATAGTCTCAGAGGTTACCTTGGAAAAATTATGCAGAAAGGGTTACAACAACATAAACAAAAACATGCTTTAAGCTCAGGGAAAAAAGAAAACTTTGGGAGGAAGCTAGAATGGCTTCCCTGAGACATAAGAGAGCAGGAAGGAAACCACAGCCAGGCTTTCAGGATTCTTTCACCATAACTTGTATCATTAAACATAGTTCCAGTCTTTAAACTTGTGGATTCAGTTTCCTTGAAGAGCTGACACATAAAGAGAATAGCAGAAGCATAATTGTGATTGTGAAATAGGGAGCTGAAAAGAAAAACTTGATTATCAAAACATTAAGGTGACCAACTTTTTTACAATGAAAAGGAGAACACAAATAAATTGAAGATATTGTAAATAAAAAAAGCATTTTATTCATTGCAACAATAATACAGAATACACTATAATATGATAAATGCATAATAAAAACATTTGTAACAAAATCATTTTATATTGTAATTATGCTTACATGCTATGCCCCTGCCCGCAGCCGGCCCACCAGCAATGCTGCCCCACCATGTAGAGCGGGCCCCGCAGCTCCCAAAGCACCAGCTGCACTGGCTCCGGCCCCGGGGGGCAGCCCGCTATCAACACACCCCACCTGCAGCCACCCCGCCAACACCACTGCCCACCCTGCACAGCCCTGTGTAAAGCAGCCCCCGCGGCTTCCACAGCATGGGGGGGCAGCCGGCCACTGCTGCACCTCACACCCTCACCCGCAGCAGCCCCGCCGCCCCTCCCTCTGGCACCCACAGCCATTATTGCCCTAGCAGGGCCGAAGATCAAGAGAAAGTTACCGTGGCATCGCCACTCCAGTCTCCTCCAGGTATCTTTGGGACTAACTAGGAGATGGTGTAGTTGGGTAGCAGGGAGGGGTGCAAAGTTCCTGCCAATTCGTCTTCGCTGCAGACAACTTACATGTGCAAAGTTTGCCAGCCGGGTGCTTTGGCGCACTCAGCAGCAATTCCTATTGGCTTTTGAAAGCCAATAGGGGGAGTAGCACAGCTCATGCAAAAGTTGAAAAAAAACCATCAAAAAAAGGTGCTGGAACACTGTTCTGAGTGTTCTATGTGGAAAAAAAAAAGCCCTGCAGATTAGTCTTCAAATATCGAAAAGGAGGACATGTAGGAGGACACTTTTCTAGGGAGGACAGAACTCACAAAAGGAGGACTGCCTCCCTAAAGGAGGACAGTTGGTCACCTTAAAAACATTTAATAGTTATGTGAGCTATAAATGGTACGTAACAAGAAGTACTCTTATATTTTACCATTGTGGTATTATTAGATCCATATGCCTTTGAACTTTTATCACATGTGAGGAGTTATTTTTATATGAGCATAATTCTGTGCATGTGTATGCTCAAGCTTGCTTGATACAGAATAACAGAGTTATTGGAGATCTTCTAGTGCAGTCCAAACCCCTGCTCAGGTTTACAAGGCTGTATTTTCCCCCCACTGAGAATTGAACAAAACACCCCTACATGGTGACCACTTCATGTTAAATAAGCTTTTTCCTCTTCTCTGACACTGTATTTATACTCATACCTCAATAAATTCTAACAAATTAAAATTTCATCTTTAACTCTTTTTCTTGCTTGCACAGACAGGTGCCTAACCTATGTCACAAAGATGATCCCTTAATGCACGGTCTCCTCACGACACTGGAAAATTCTAGCAAGGCAGTCTTAAGACTGGCAAATTAGAGTAAGCTAGTCACCATAGTTTTAGACAATAATGATGACACAATAAAAGTAATGAGGTTCTATCAGACTGTGACCTTCAGAGAACACCTAAAGCTATGTCACAGAAGCAGGTGAATTACAGATTAAAGATTCTCTGGTGATTCTGTCACACATCTCTCCTCCATCTCTCCTCCTTCAAGTTCTTTCTTTTCTAACTCTTTAACTTGCTTTCAAGAGCAAGTTCTTGACATTTTAGCTTTCCCAAACCTATAGTTCAGAACAGCTTGAGTTTCTGGAAGGCTGTTTCTAGGCTGTTTCACAGGACATGGTACACCTGCTATTGTACGTATGATTAAATACTTTTTAATCATCTTTGCTTTTCAGAAACATATCTAAAACTGGAACCAGTGGATTATCTGCATTGCAAATCTCATAAACCTGAACAATGACTGGAGAAAAAATCTTTCTTGAAATCTTTCTACTGTCTAATGATGTAGGTATTGAAAAATCTCCATGTTGCTTCTTGTGGCTTGAAATTTGGTACTTGCCAATCTCTTTTCTTTTGAATATGAAGGTACAGTAAATACATGCAGTATAACACTGAAAGATGAAGATAGACCCCCTCAGGGTGAAAAACAGTGATACATTATACTGGTAAATTGTCACGCAATAATGTCGCCATGTTATAATGAGCCATTTTGCCATTCTCACAATTAAGGCAATCAAATATTTGAATAAAGAATAATCATTCATTACAGGTAGTCCTCAACTTACGACCACAATTAAGCCCAAATTTATGTTGCTAAATGAGAAATTTGTTAGATGAGTTTTGCCCCGTTTTACGACTTTTCTTGCTACACTTCTTAAGTGAATCAAATCAGTTGTTGAATTAGTAACATGGTTGTTAAATGAATCTAGTTTCCCCATTGATTTTGCTTCTCAAAAGGTGATCACATGACCATGGGGATGATGCAATGGTCATAAGTGTGAAAAATGGTCATGTCATTTTTTTCAGTGCCATTGTAACTTTGAACGGTCACTAAGTGAGCTGTTGTAAGTCGAGGACTACCTGTCTTTATCCTAATAAGATCTTTATTTAGCCTAATGTGATATTAGTGCGTTGAACTGTACAGAGTTTTCTTTTTTTTAATAAAGATTTTATTGGGTTTTTTTTTCATCAACATATGTTAATTTTTCCAGTCAACAAGTTGTCTGGAGTTTGCTATGCTAATACATGTTCATTTCCTAATCCTTCATTCTTTCCTCTAGCCAGGAATAAAATAGGTCCCAAATCTGATAGTAGTCTGTATCTTCTTGTGTTTTAAAGAAGTGACATCCTTTTAGCTAAAACCTTTTGTTAAACTTTGATTGCATAATTTAGCATTATGGATTAGCAACTTTGCTTACATAGTTTCATGGTTCAGGCATCAACTAGACCAGCTTCATAAAATAATCCCTTAGCACATCATATTCTTATTCAGTATTCTGAGTTTTATCTGTTTTTTCTTTCTTTCAGAATTAAAGGACTGACCTCTCTATAGAAAATGAAAAGTAAATATGGCTCAGAGGGTACTAGTAAAACTAGATGTATTGAAGCGATATGAGAAGAAAAAACTGAGCAAATATGACATGGTTGAGGTAACTTTTGAGATAATATACAGTAGAAATGGTTGTTATTCAGTTTTTAGAACATACACTATGTTTTTTCCTATGAGCTTCAAGAAAACCACAGGAACTTGGATTCATTAGGATTCTAAGAACTGATTCGAACTTCCTGTGCACAAATAAAATGCAGAGTGAAGCATAAAAGTACTTTTCAGATTTACTGAGGACAATTAATGTTTCATAAGTAGTTTCCCATTTGAACAATGGCACTGCTTCTATCAGCAGAACTGAAAGGAACGAGTCTCCTCCTCCCTGGGATCCACAGGGTCAAAAACGCCAAGATGGTGGCTACTACTGTTGTGCAACTGAAACACTGTTAACCATCTTGATTTTTTTCATCACACCCTGTGGACACTCCTGTCTTCATCCCTTGTCGTTCTTCATCCATCCCACAAAATCTGTTCTGGAATATTTGGGAATGCAGAGCAGAGGATGAATCTTTTGCCCCATTCTGATTGGAATGCAATTTCAACTTTGGATGATCTGAATTTGCTGTTTACCTGTGTGTTCTCTAAAATGTTACCTTCATTTGTATGTCTTTATGTTTTTAGATATCATCCCAAAATGAACCTTTTGAATGCCAGGCTGCCTCTTTCCTGATAGGGCTATTTAAAAAGGACTTACTGTAGCTAATTATTCACACAATCTGTGTAAATATTAGTATATTTAAAAACTATCCTGGTGCTTTACATAGTAATGAAAAGTGAGTAGTTTACAAGCTAGATACTAATAATTTCCATATATGTTTTGTTTAAAACCAGTGTCAGAATCTTGGGAAACTACAATTAAAACCCTATCGGAGAACTCCACTGACATTTGATTTTAAATTGTTTTATGACCCTACAACTAAGAAATCAAATATTCCAGCAATTCCATCTATACATAATTCATACATTACAGAAAAGAAGCAGAGTTCAGCTGTGCTGCTTGAAAGGTAAGACTTCTTTGGTCTGATCTGAGCAGGTATTTCAGTTTTGCCATGTATTGTCCACTTCTGTCAAGATCACAATGAGTGTTGAGTAGCATGTCAAGAGCCACATTTCAAAAGTAGTGGAAGGTTTTATGGAAAATTTTCCAGAGTTTAAAGGGTGTAAAGGGATGCCCTAAACATCTGCAAGGCACCCACTTTTCCAACCTACACACACATTTATACAGCTTAGGGCAGGGGTCTTCAAACATGGCCCTTTTATAACTTGTGGACTTCAACTCCCAGAATTCCTCAGCCAGGCACACTGGCTGAGGAATTCTGGGAGTAGAAGTCCACAAGTCATAAAAGGGCCAAGTTTGAAGACCCCTGGCTTAGGGTAATTCCATATTTTCAGCTTTACTACCATCAGCATCGCAAAGCTGAATAAAAGGAACCAAAAATCATCACTTCACTCAACCCTGCTGAAGAAGAAATAAAGATTCTTTTATCACCACTCCATGAAACAGTGATATAAACCAAACTGCTTCTGCACGTACCCCTCATACACTTATTCAGTTTGTAGTATGTGCATATTTTTGGTCACATGTAAATAAAATTTAACATCTGACTGGCTCTTATGAAGGTAACTGCAAAGTTGTTTCTCCTTGAGAGACCTGCTGGGGAGCCTGAAGCTTAGGATTTAACAAGAATCTCACAGTATCGTAAAGAGCAATTTACTTTTCAGCATTTCCAGGATATTAACTGTTCAGTTAATCCTCGACTTACAATCATTCATTTAGTGACTGTTTGAAGTTACAACACCACTGAAAAAAAGTGACGACTGTTTTTTCGCAGCAGCAATCCCATGGCTACGTGCTCAAAATTTGGGAGTAGGCAACTGGGATGTATTTAATACACTTGCACTGTCTTGGGGGTCACGTGATCATTTGTAATCTTCCCAGATAACTTCCCACAAGCAAAATCAATATGGGAAGCCAGATTTACTTAACATCTGCATGATTCATTTTAACGACTGTGACAAAAAGGTTATAAAATGAGGCAAAGCTCACATAGCAATTAACTTGTTTAGCAAAAAAAAAATTTGGGCTCAGTTGTGGTCATAAGTTGAGGATTACCTGTACTGGAGAGCTGAGTGGATATATTTTTGCAATATATTGCTCAAGCAATGCAGAAAAATGGGGCGTAAATTTACTAAGTAGAAAAATAATGTAGTCACTGTGAAGTTAGGAGGTTTTTCCTCATTGGATGGAACTCATGCTTTAGCCCAGGGGTCTTCAAACTTGGCCCTTTTATGACTTGTGGACCAACTCCCAGAATTCCTTAGCCAGTGTGCCTGGCTGAGGAATTCTGGGAGCTGAAGTCTACAGGTCATAAAAGGGCCAAATTTGAAGACCCCTGCTTTAGCCTTTCTCCTTATCAGGGAAACACTAACTTGAAGGCTTGGCAGCTCTTCTTCAGTAATACAAACAAAAAAGGATGAAACCAACCAGAGTTATTGATTGGTTGATTAAAGTTGAACCCTACCTGCCTCTTTCTTCAACAATCAACATCTTTCCATGATTAAAACATTTATTTATGTGTTCATTTGTTTAAAATGACATTAATTTAAATTAAATATTACAATTAAATTAAATATTATTACATTTAAATTTGATAGAAGTATATTAACTATTAAGAATTTGGAAGCAATGATGTTTTTCACCATCTTCCTAAGTTCTGGGATGAGGTCCCAGGCACATCTACTCAGGGAGCATCTCCCACAGCTAGGGAGCTTAAGTAATGAAAATGACTCATCCTATCTTCTGGGCCCCAAAAAACCCCTTCTTTACTGAGTTAATTCATCAAGCAAGTTCACAGAGGGAAGGTGATTCTGGAGCTGATCTAGTCTCAGGCAGTATCAGTACTCTGAATGTGTCCTGAAGATAAGTTGGTGCAGATCTTTGAGAACTTGGGTTGATTGGAGTTGGCAGGCCTGGAAAGCTGACAGATTTGATGTGTTTGTAAACACAGGCAGATTTCACCGAGGAACCAGTTCCATATAAGGCAGTGGTTCTCAACCTGTGGGTCTGGACCCCATTTGGGGTCGAACAACCATTTCACGGGGGTCGCCAAACAAGGCTGTCCGCCATTTTTTCCCCCTTTTCTTTGGCCATGCCCCTGGCACCCGGTGATGTATAAGTGGTTGGGGGTCACCACAACATGGGGAACTGTATTATGGGGTCGCGGCATTAGAAAGGTTGAGAACCACTGATATAAGGCAATGCTGTACAATAATGAACAATGTAAGCAGTCCATTGCAAAATTAGGAGAAAGAATCTTGAGGTATTCATCCTCACAGAACAACCTTAGCCAAGGAAGTTCACCAGATGACTTTGGGTCACTTGTACTTTCTCCATCCAACCTTCCTCACAGAATTGTAGCTTGGGGGGGGGCAAATAGGAGGAGGAGAGAGCACTATCTTTGCTCCTTCAGTTTCTAATATAATAAATAAAAAATAATTTTTTATTTACAGAGTCCTGTGATCACTTTAGAAAGCAGTTCTATGCATGTGTGTATAAATCCACCCTAAACGTTCACAAATTATTGAAGTTTTTTTCTTGGACTGTTGCAGGATATTCATGTTAAGCCAATCTTGTATTTTACAGCTGTGATATTTCTAGTGCTTCAAGGTCTGAATTATCAACACACTTCTCTAGGAATAATTATTCTGGCAAACCTGCTGTAAGGCCATCTAGTGCTCCAAGCTATCTGAAATGTAAGGAAAGTGATCTGAAAGACGTATTCATTATATTTATTTAGTAAGTTTTCAACTGGGAATCTGTGGCTGGCTTTTTAATCATTGTCAGCGACAGTTTATTTAACCAACATTTATGCAATAAATCACAGTTGCCTGGGATCATGTAATCCACTCAGTCAAGCGTTCTTAACCTTTTTGGGTCATGGACCCCAAAAGAATCTGGTAAAACTATGAACCTCTTTTCAGAAAATGTATTTAAATGCTTAAAATAAATTAGTGAAAATCAAGTTGCATTTTTTTCCCCATCTGAGTTTGTGACTCCCCTGAAATCTGCTTATAGGCCCCAAGAGGATCCATGAACCCCAGATTAAGAACCTCTGCGCTAAAACTTAAATAATATTTTTCTAACCAGGGTAGCTGGGTTCACATAATACATTAAGCAGGAAATTCTCAAGCTTTGCAGTTTCTAAAATAATAAATGAATTAGTACAAGTTCCCAAATCCCAAAGGAAGTGAATTGCTTTTTGTGAATAGGTTTGGGCAAGAAATAAATAATATGTCATACAATTTAATTTTTAAAAGGCACCTATCAGAGGAGTTTGTGCAAAGCAAGAAGCAAAGCCCAGCAAAGTTCTGACTGCACTTCTAGTCTTTATGTGCAAAACTGATTTGGTTAAAAAAAGGAAAAACTATGTGACCCCAGTAATAAAATCACAGTTTGAGCACTAAGCCACAAAGCAATAGTTTACCATAGAGTATAAATATAGATTGTAATGTACTAAGACAGTGATGGCAAACCTTTTAAAGACTGAGTGCCCAAAAACTGGCCCGCCCCCAGCCTGCCCCCACTCTGCCCCCCACTCCACCCCCTGCTCCGCTCACCTGCAGGGCCACTCACCACAGATTGCCCAGGCAGCCTTGCAGCACACCATGGCGGTCATGCCCTCTGCCCACACCTCGCAGCATCATCTGCATGTCATGGGGTGCGAGGGCGGAGTCTTGCCCCTGCTGGCCAGCTGCCATGTGTTTGGCTGCACTGCTCCATGTGGATCACACTTGGGGGAGCCTCTTCGGGCAGGCTGCTGGAGAGGAGAGGGTTGCAGGGAGAGGTGGGGCTGGGGCAACAGCACGTGTGCCCATAGAGAGGGCTCTGAGTGCCACCTCTGGCACACGTACCATAGGTTCGCCACCACTGTACTAAGACCATTATTTTATAATGAAGGATTCTAAATTTTAAATTTCTCTCTCCCCCTCTCACTCCTCTCTCCCCTCTCCTTCCCCTTCTCTGTGTTCTACCCGTTTACCTATCTATTTTCCCCAATTTTTAACTCATTTCTTCCACTCCTGTTTCATATAACTTTTGTCTTTCCTTTATTAAGCCTACGTTGGTGTTGGTATCTGGGAAAAGAGTAGTTTGCTGTATGAGAAATATATTCAAATTTTATATAATTTGGAGGTTGTGGTTGAAATAAAGTGCCATCTCATTTACATTTCTTGTTATAAAATTTTCACTCTTTAATTCTATGTAGCATCTGACATCAGCATTTCTTTTGATGTGTGATAGTATTTTTTAAACAATGCTGATAAAATCTTCTCAATGCGTAACATAATCCTTTCAGATACATACAATGAAACACCAAGTTCTCTTGGATATGTAACTGGCATTAACATTTATAATGTTCCCTAATTTCAGTAATACCTTTTCTAATTGTAGAACAACTTTCTCCAACTTATGAGTTTCAAATATAGGATTTCATTTTCCATAATGTCCATCTAGACTAGAGTAAATACCTGATTTATCTAAAGCCATTTAAGTATATTGTTTGGACAATCCATTTAAGCATTCCAGATTGATGCCAAGGTCATGTAGAGATGCCCTCTTTAAGGCAAGCCCAGCCTTGTTTTTTCCTAATAGGCCTCTGCACTTACGCTGTGTGAAATTTATTCCTATTTTATTCTGGCTTTTGTTTTCATAATGTATTTCTAAAAGCTAACCTGAAGAATGCAGATGGAAACTTCTTAATCGTGAAACAAAAGCCAAAGCAAAAAACTGCTTATTCCACTTCAGATATCCAGAACATACCAGAAACATTGTCAGATGTAAGTTGTACTGTTGAGAATTTCATACCTTTTTTCTTGAAAACCAGAGAATTTATCACACAGTGCCAATATATATATATATGCCCCTTACTCTTCTATGTTGTGATTTAATTTATGTTTTAGAAAAATCTTAAAACATTCAAATCAACCTACAAAACACAATCTCAAAAATGATAAAAGAAGAAATGAAATCTGATGCACTACAATTTAGGAGAATATTCAACAAAATTCCTTTTTAAACATTTTTTTTCATAGCCAATCACCTAAAGGAGCATGTGATGATCTCAGTTTTGTTTCATCTTTTCTTTTATTTCACTTAAATTTTACCTTCTCTGCTTCTTCCATTCCAAATCATAATTTTCCATATGTCACTCTTCTCCCAGATAGATACAAAGTAATATCATCCACCGTAGCTTCATTCAATCAAAGCTTCCACATAAAGATTCATAATAAGATAAAGAAGATATAGCCTAGGTTATCCATACTAATGCTGAGGTCAGTACCAGTCAGTTTGGGCCAGGTTGTCTCAAATTCATCCAAAACCTTAGTTTTATTCCAGCATTATCATACTATTGTGTATATATAAATTGGCAGGGCTTTTTTTGTCATAGAACACCCAGAACGGAGTTCCGGCACCTTTTTTGGATGGAACCTTGTAGGGTAGGCAAGGCGGGTTGTATGACGTGTGAGTTCCGGCACCTTTTTTTTTTTTTTTTACAAAAAAAGCACTGTAAATTGGCATCTCTAATCTAGCAAGTACTTGCAAGCCAACATAATGTTATTCACATGCTAACAACCAAAAGGTGAATACAATACACTGAATCCCAAAATTGTGGCCCCAAGCAGCTGAAAGTGGTTCAAAGGGAGTATAGCATTAACAGGGATAATAGTTGAGGGAGCCTTAAATGCAGATCAGCAGAACACCCCCCCAAAAAGAAAATTCTGAGGCAGAAAAAAAACCCTTAAACTCAGAGGTGATTCACATTGTTTAGACTTGAATTATCAAAGCAATCCAATGTAAACTATTGATTTGATTTGGATCTCTAGGTTGATTTGATTCAAATCTCTGAATTAGATTGTTGATTCAGACAATCTATTTTAAGGGAAAAATGCCTTTCAACCCATGTGTGAAGGCTATCACCCTTCAAATCAATGCAGGGACAAGAAGTTTAATTCAATAATTTGATCTGGATCAATGATACAATTCAAAAAATTAATTTGATTCAAAGATCAAACTGCCTTTGAACTGAAACACCCTGTCAAATCTTGATATACTGTAATTGCAGTATTCAACTGTTGTATTATCGACAGTAGCATATTTCTAATCAATGCATTCTAGAATATTATAAAGCATGTATACACAAAGGTAATATGAATTATTCCTTTACTCTCCTTTGAATGTTTTGTTTTATCCTTAGTTGTTTGCTGAAATGCTATAATTTTGCCTCTGATTACCCCATTCTTCTTTTTAGTACCTTTACATCGGTCTTAATTCCTGGTCATACAATTTTCTTGGCAACAATTTTTGAAGTGGCATGCCATTGCCTGCTTTGTAGGGCTGAGAGAGAGTGGCTGGCCCAAAGTTACCCAGCTGGCTTTGTGCCTAAGATGGGACTAAAACTCACCATTTCCTGGTTTCTAATCTTTAAAACTATGATACTACACAAAATTGGCTTTCCTGCATTACACTATGAGGTAAAAAGGGCACATTTTGGATGTCTTTCCCAAGAGAAAAGATAATGGTAGAAAATATTTATGTTCGAAAGGGCAAAGAGATTTTTTTTCCTTATGACAGATTAGCAATAACTGTAATATTTCTCCCTTTTCATCATCTTTCTTAAATACAAGGGAATGGTTGATGTTTTTGCTAGTAACTCCTCAGAGATCCTACTCAGCATCTGTCTATCCCTTCCAATAAAAAAGCATAACAGCAAATGAAAATCTTGATTCAAATCTATCTTGGGCATAGAAGATTGGATAATGCAGTTTTGGGGAAAGTATGGTCAAAAAAGTCATGCTGGTGCTGTAATGATATGATCAAAACTCTCAGTTATGGTTGCCATCTTAACTTTTTTGAGCATGCCCAATGGACGCCCCTGCATAGATAGATCATGCAAACAAATGTATCTGTGAATTGAAATTAATACATAGACTGTATATTATCATAAGAAAGCAACTAAGATGAAATTACCCATTTAACTCTGGAGTAATTAACACTAAAAAAAGACATGATCACAATCCGATTTAAATTCCAGCAGTTAAACTTTCATTAATTTTGCTATGGTCAGATTAGTTGGAGACAGCAAGGAGACAGAGAGAAAGATAAAAATCTGTTGACTAACCAGAGAAAGTGAATAATAACAGATAATGAACTCTTTCAGCAAGTCCCTGTAGGCAAACAGAAAACAACAGTGTATAGGGCCTCTGTTCTAATACTGTCATTTCAATGCGGGTTTATGCAATTATGTAAGAGGGTACATTCAAGTTTGTATTTTGAAAAAATGCCATTTTAAAATGCTCTTGCAAATAAGAATCTGCTATATCAGAGCCATAGAGTGGCTGAAGGTCAGACACGACTGAATGGCTGATGATGACAATAATATCAGAACTATTTAGAAAAGATTTTCGGAGAGTTTTTGCCACGTTAAGAAAAGTGGAATATCAAAAAGCGATGCCTTGTTTGCATAATAGTTTTATTTTGATAATAGTTGCAATGAAAATCTATACCTCTAGATTTCAGTGAAATCCACTATCAATCATGAAAGGAAATTGAAGGAAGGGAATTACAGATAGCCCAACCGTGGGTTATGAGTTGGATCATATAAATGGTTCATCACAATGGATCACACACATATGGCTTTCCTGTCTGTAACACCAAGCAAGATGATCATAAATGAACAACAATGGTCATTCATGATATGTGAAAGCACATTTGCCTAAATAACTTTACATCAGGCACCATTTCTACCTTTAGTGATGTTTTGAACTTATGCTGCACATCTTTTCCAGCTGAATTTGTTGCCTGCAAGAACCTGTATTAATCGGGATGGAGAGACATCTATCAGAGAGAGAAAAGGTTGGAGAAAATAAATACTCATTATGAACCACAACAAATGCATTTAAATAACACATGGATTTCAGGAATAGGAGAACTGGTTCGGATATTAAATACAGTTGAAAACATTGTTTTAGCGTTGTATATCTTAAGACTGAACTTCAAAGGCTCAAAAAAAATTAGTTTGGATTTCTGAACAAATAGCATTTGGATTAAGATCGATTTATTGAAACATGCTTTATTTTCTATGACTGAAGCATTTAAAATAAATGTAAAGACATACTATTTTGTTACAATCATCTATTTCAATATGCACGATGGATGCAAATAAGTTTGTTGCTTGTAACTTTGTTACAAGAATAAGCAATAATAGGCTGCAAAGTTTGGAAGTGAAGGAGTCAGTCACAAGAAGTGGATCAGAGAATGAATGAATGAATGAATGAATGAATGAATGAATGAACAAATAGAGATAGACTAAGGCTAATGCTGGAGATTTTCTTCAGCTCAACTATTATTGATAATGTTGAATATTCCCTAGTGACTAATTCAAACATTAGAGTAAACAAGATGCCAATCCAAACACATTCCCCCAAAGTGACAGGTTTAATTTTGGATGATAACACATCTGAACATTCACAGGTGTGAATTAGCCTAATCTTAAAGTGCAAACAAATGCACCAAAGGCCTGAAACTGTCTTTGTGACTCATCAGCTCCACAGGGTAAGCAACTTGTAGTTTGAACATTGCAGGTGAATCAACTCCCAGATCAATCTCTTAATCATAGTTATGCTTCCCTTTAGTTATATCTTTTCTTTTTTCCAAGTCCATCCAACTATAAGCCAATTTTCCCTAACCTAGTTTCCAACTGGGTAGACTAGAATTTAGGCCCTTTAATTCTCAACCAAGAGTTGTGCTGGCTGCAAATTTAGTCCAAAATATCTAAAAGGTACCAGGATGAGAATGTCTAACTGAAATGATTACAGTAAGGATTTTTTTTTCTGTGTGAGAGAGACAAATGGCTTCTATTTGTTGATAGCAGTGCATTTTTTAAATAAAACCCTCTGCTATTTCAGATGACTTAATAAATCAATCTGCTATTTGTGCTGAGGCCAGAAGGGAACCTACTCAAGATATGATAATGGGAAATAAATTCATAATTGGTACAAGTGATCATTTGCCATCAACTGGCCAGGATGAAAGGTAATTAACCATAATTAGAAAAGTTATTTTCTTTCTTTAAAATGACAGCTGTACATCATTTTTTCATTTTTATATATTTACTGGTGGAAATATTTGATTGTTGCTCCTTATCCCACATCAGAGGTATGGAATTGGCAAGGATATGATATAAAGTCAGTGAGACACATTCCCTGCCTAAAATTAGAGTTCCTTTAAATTTCTCCTTTCCAGAAAAAAACCCCACTACCTTCCAAGCCCCCAATTTACTTACACATGTAAATGTAAGTTTAACATTGTAAGCCACCTAGAATCACTTTTAGGCATGGTATCTCATAATAAATAAATAAATCCTAAAACTCTCATACTTTAAACATCAGCTTTCTTACAGCAGAAAGCTGCAATGCCAGATTTAGCTTCATAATCTGAGCAAGCAATAGCTCTGGGACTAATTAGCTGTACCCTGAATTCAGGTGTAGTTTATGATGTACTTCTTTCAAGACAAAATTAAGGTTTATTGTAGCAAATAAAATTTAGAGACAATTCTCAATAAAAATATAAAACATATTAGCCTATTTAAAGATGGAGCAAAAAGTAGGAAAGTCTGTGGCATCATCATCTCTCCATCAGTTATGTAAAGAAAGCCCTTCCCTCCAATCAGCAGTCTCAATCATAAAATAAAATGAAGAATTATAACAATTTCCTCCTACCTATTGAATATCTGTTCTTATTTAACCCAGCATTGAAAGCTAGAACATTAAGACTTAGTGTTAAGAGAAAACCACATTTTGTTTATATATTTTTCCATAGAATAAAAGACGAATCAAAAAAGAAAATGAACAAAAAAGTGCAGGACTTGAAAAGGAGACTAAAGTTAAGAAATATATAAGTGATTTCTGACTTTTTCAACAGATAATTACAATCTTATTGTTCTTCCTTTGTTAGATATTAAACAAACCCCATTAGTCCCTCATTTAATCTACATCTTCTCTCCTTGTTAAGCTTCTACTCCATTACTCCATTACTTCTTGTCTTGCTCTTAGATGACTTGGAGAAATAGGTCATCATGTCATTTCTTTCTTCTTTCAGCAAGAAGATTTTAAATCTTCCAAAAAAGTTTCTGTTGTTTTTTCTCTCTTTCATCAAACAGGTCAGTTTGCCATTTTTGTGAATTCTGACTTTTTCAAAATTGATTCATCCGCTGTGGGGATTTTGTTATTCTTCCAGAAGAGAAACATAAATTTTAGATGTGATACAAGCCCATAATAGAATTATATCCCAAAATTTTTTCCCAAGTTGGATTAAACTGCTAAGTCTTTCTCATGCTTCCTTTCAGTTTCCTAGATCATACAGTTGAACTACATTTTCCTCAATATTTCCAATGTTGGCATTTCAGTTTCCAACCAGAAGCAACACATCTTGCTTGCAGGTTCTGTTGATTTCTAATTTTTAACTGATCATAAAACTCACTAACCTCCTGCATCAGTGATTGTAGCGTAAACCTGGATAATTGTCGTATTAAAGGATTGCCCACAAAATCTAATTTATACTATTTGGTCACTGATTGCATTGTAGCCAGGTACTGTAGTCACTATATCTTTAAAAACAACACTGTCTCAACACCGATTTTTCATGTCCTAAGTAGTAAGTGGTGTGATCTTCTGACTGAAAGTGTCCAAGTCCAGTTCATCTCAATTCACGGATTCCTAAAATGCCAATGTGTAATTGATTCAATTAATCTTCACTGTGTTAAGTTTCCCCACATTTTTTCTACTTTTGTTCCATGTTCCATCAGCAACTAAACATCCTGAAGGCTTTAATGTAGTCACCTTATAAACACTATTTACACTCTGACAAATCCTCCAAAGCATGTTGTTGATGATGATGTTATCTGTTTAGTTGTGTCCGACTCTTGGCGATTCTATGGACCAGGTTACTCCACATTTTCCAATCTTCCACTACTTGAGTTTTTTTATGCACTGGTTGGTGTCAGCTTTGATAGCGTATCACAATCAATCTGAGAGGCCCATCGTCTGGCATTATAATTGTCAGTAATATATCCATGTGGTTTATTGGTAAAAATACAGGAGTGGTTTAACATTGCCTTCTCCTGTGGAGTACAGAGATGCTTTTGCCACTGTCACTAAACAAGTATCTGCCTTCAATATCTTCCTATATCACTGTTGTCCAATATGGGTACCCATTTGCTTTAGATGGGAAGCTGGAATGACCTTCAATCCTTGGGTGTCCCTGCTGGGAATATATACTTGGTATACACTGCTGGTATTCTCTTCCAACAACATCCCCTCCCACAATATATATCATGTAGCAATTTTCTCCTACATGCTATGAATTTATTCTTTAAATTTCTTGAATTTCCAAATTTTCATTCATATGCAGATCAAGATTAATTTTAAGTAATTTTTTCATTTCCCTATTAACATCTTTCCTAAATCTTCAGATATCCCATTAAACTTCAAATTATTTTTGTAATTCTGTTTAACTGCTCTCTGGTTCAGCTTCTGACTTGTTTAACTTTGTCATAAAATTTCTTTGAACTGAAAACAGCTCCTTGGGTACTTTTTGCAAATCTTTAAGTTCCTTATCTTGATGTTCTAATCTGGAATTGTTTGTTAATTTTTCAGATTTCAATTTTTATTGAATTAATTTAATTACATTACCTTCTACTATACATAATCTATCTTTAAGAAGATCTTTAATTTGTGGTAAACCAACAGAGAAATCAATTAATGATTCTGTTTGGACTCTTTTCATTATGTTTGTTTTCTTCTTAGTGTGTCATTTTCTACCCAAATCTTTTCATTATGAAAGACCAGAACAAATTATCCAGTTAGGACTGACATATAGGTTCTATATAATATCTATGTAAATTTAGATAATAGAATAGAGAATAATAGATTTGGAAGGGACCTTGGAAGCAAAAAGAAAACCCTTGAAGGAATTTCAGGTCTTAAGGCTACACCCTAGCTCAGGGGTAGGCAACCTCGGCTCTTTTATGACTCGTGGACTTCAACTCCCAGAATTCCTGAGCCAGCTATGCTGGCTCTGGGAGTTGAAGTCCACGAGTCGTAAAAGAGCCGAGGTTGCCTACCCCTGCCCTAGTTATACCCATTAAACTTAAAAGAAACTTTTAAAATATTGTCATTCTTTACATCAAAAACTGGCATTCTTTATACCATTTCTAGCATAAAAGTCCTTTGGTTCAATGTTGAAAATCAGAAGTAGATGTTCTTTATGTTGGAGCTCCCTCTTGCAGCTAAAGCAAGAAAGACAAAGAGGCAGTCAACAGACAGATAGCAGCCAGGCTGATGGTTGGAGGAAAGTAAATTCAAATAAGACAAAGAAAATCATAACCAAAATATAAATTGGTAAAATTCTCATTGGTATAATGATAGGGAACCCTAGATAACCAGGTGACCCACTGAGAGAAAAGCAATAGGATGTGATCGGAATATACATTAACATTTAAGCTGATTATATATATTTTTTATCCCAATGTTGGATGGTCCCATAATATCTAAGAAGATCTAAGATCATTTAAGAAGAGCATACATCCTAAATAAAAATAATGTAATGTCAATAATGTCAATATTACTTACTTAAACAGAATGACCAGTGTATGTGGGAACAATTTCCTATTTCCTGCTGGTTTTCCCATTGACTTTGCTTGTGGGAAATTGACAGGGAATATTGGAATACAGGCATCAACTTCATGTATAAAATTGGTCTGAATATCATGGAAATTTCAGTTCCATAGAAGTTAAAGGTCCTCAATTTTTTATACATTCTTGGTGTAATGTGTTGGCCATAACTGTTTTAAATCACTTGCTTAATGTCTGACCTACATTGCTGTATTGTTTAACAGTTGCTGTTACTGAAAGCCAGACTGGCTGTCTCCAAGCCAATAATGAGGTTTGGGGTGGAAAACTTACTTGAAATCTATTGGTTGCCACCTAGAGGCTAACTGTATAAATAGCTGTGCAGCAGCCTTTAGGGCTGCTTCTGTTCTGAGTTAATAAACTTGTTGTTGTTTCAACACTCTGCCTCATTCAATGCCTAAAGAACCGAAGATATAACACTTTAAGTTAGTAGGTTTTAGGTACCTTATTTCAAATATTATTGTGCTGCAATTGGGCTAATTTGAAGGTACAAAAAGACACAGATAAACCCCCATGACAGTTTTAATAGTGTATAGATGTAGGGATTTTTAAAAAATCAATCAATGTGTGTATGGCTTTCTCACAGGAAAACTAGTAAAACAAAACCAAAGAATACTACCTTCCTCTCATTAAAAACCCTTATGTAACTCCCAACAGTTCTAATCCCTCTTATAAGGAAATGTACTTCTAAAGCTGTTACACAAATCTGCTTAAACAATTGAACAGTCAGAAGGAAAAAATAAACCTAAAGAGTCAGCTTACAGTTTTATGATCACAGAAAACATACACTCATAAATCTCAAAATCAAAGAGAAAAGTTCAAATGAGATATAATAATAAAAAAAAAAACGGACACTTTAATTAAAACCAGAAATGCACCATAGTTGACTTGTCATTGCTCACCATCCACCACAAAACTGTAGAGGGCTTTCAGAGAATATTTGAAGATTGTATAGTTTTCTGGATTTACCTTTATGGAAGGAAAATTGCTGTTTTGCCAGATTTTTGAAAATTATTGGTGATTGAAAACATATTTTTTTCCAGTGGAAAGGAGAAATCTGAAACAGTCTCACTGAAACAACTCCATTGTCTCTCTAATGAGCTGTCAACTTGAAACCCCAAGACCTTATTTAATTGTAGGCTTTTCTCCTGATTCGTACAAACATGACAAAGTATTCCTGTTTCTCATATTATTTGTACAGTGGAAGCGGTCTATTAAACATGCACACAAAAGTTCCTTTTGATTATTTTTTTTTAGTTGATGTCATGCTCTGTACATATGCCATAATGAATTCAATGTGGCAAACTTCTTTTGGAGAGAAAAGAAAAACTGAGAAGAAAATGGATGTATCTTCAGCATCCTGACCTCCTCCTTGCTGACTGAGGATACAGTATAGTTCAGAAACTGTCCTCTGGTCAAGAAAGTTGAAACAGGTCCTCCCTTGGTAACTGGGCGAGGCCAACAGATTAGGATCGTGCGAGGTGTTGTGTAATATATCCAGATGTTTTTTCACACTAGGGCAGTGGTGGCGAATCTATGGCACGGGTGCCAGAGGAGGCACTCGGAGCCCTCTCTGTGGGCATACGTGCCATTGTCCCAGCCTCACCTCCCCCCATGACCCCCTCCTCTCCAGCAGCCCCCCTGAAGGAGAGTCGCCCCCGAGAGTGGCCTACATGGAGCAGCGCAATCAAGGACATGGCAGCCAGGCAGCATAAACAAGACTCTGCCCTCATACCCCATCATGCAGTTGATACTGCAGGGCGTGGGCAGAGGATGTGTCCGCCATAGTGTTGCTGGGCTGCCTGGACGATCTGTGGCAGGCTCTGGATGCGGTGAATGGTCCTGTGGGCAGGCAGGGTGAGGGATGGGGGCAGAGCGGGGGCAGGGCCAGTTTTTGGGCACTCGGTTTCTAAAAGGTTCGCCATCACTGCGCTAGGGATTTAAAGCTTTATTTTTCTGTATTGGGCTCAAAAGCCAACAGGTAACAATTAGTTACTTAAAATAGGTTCTTTTTTTTATAACAAGTTTTATTGTTTTTTTCATTTTACAGGCAAGTGCTTATGAAACAATGTGGTGGCAGGGCAATCAATTATCCACACAACAAATCATAAAATTCAGATTAAATCATTAAAAAAAACCTTCTCTTTTCCCTATAATAACATATTATATTCAAATTGATATATTTCAATACAACTAGATCAATCCTATCAATCCTCAATAACCTTTCATCTAAATAGATCCACAAATCCAGATCCTGTATTAAGTTTACTTATTTCAATTACTATATTACATATTTCTAATCTAAGTACATAGTTAACACTTTGGGAGTCTCCCCATTATCTTTTTCCTTAACATATTCAATAAACATTTATTAATATCATTTCTTATTTTTCCCTATTCTTCTTCCATTACAAAGTAACTATCAGTTCTAATGTATATATAAAAAAGTATATTAGTCCATATCAGAAAAGAAAAAGAACAAAGAAAAAAAACAAAGAACAAAACAGAAAAAAGTGAAAAAAACCTTTCTATTTCTATTATACTTTATAATCTAACAATCAATCCCTCAATATCAATATCACATTTCTTTAACCTCCTCAAAGTTACTATATCCAAAACAAATTAATACGTAGACAAACACCTTATTAAGTTCAGACCTTTAATTAATTTTTATTCAATCTAATATCTTATTTAACTGTCATAAGCCATAAATCAATCCATATCTAATAAGCCTTTTAAAATCATTACATAAAACCTTCAATCACATTCTTAAATCTTATTCTAGCTTTCCTTTTATGCCAAACAGGTTTCCATAACAACACCACTATATCAATAAGCAAGTCATTTTTTATGTCTTGTAGTGTCCTTTGAATCAAGCAGAGACGTCTTCTTTTCTGTTTTAGAAACCTAGCTCCTTTGTAAATAATCCCTTGTTGTTTGACAAAGTCCGGTCTCCACATTTGAACCTGTTGAGTGGCCGGCTCAATTACATCCAATTTTGTAGCTAATAGTTGTTTATCCAAGCTAGCATCGTTCTCAGTTCGTTGGGCTTGTCTGTCCATTTTTGTTAATTTTAGGGTTGTAAGTGGTTTAATTACAGTCCTTTTTAATAACTCAGAGATCTCATCAGCCTGCGTATGAAATAAAATGGAGTCTTCTTTACCTTTAGTTAATTCTGCTTCTGTTGTTTCTTGGTCCAAAGTCTGGGAGTCAGTTTGTAAGTTCAAAGCAGGATTTCTATTTTTTATTTTCATCATAAATTCTTTTATTTGCAAATGTATTTCATCAGTAGCTTCATAAAGTTTTTCCAGTATAAGTTTATAGTCAAGTTGAACCAAGGGTTCATTTCAAAGATAATCAAAAACAGTCTGTATCATTTAGTAGAGGCTGTGTTCAGAGAACATTTAATCAGTGTCCACCCCCACCAGTACAGCTGTTAATTTTCTTTGTATTTTCCCTTTTATGATAATCTGAAAGTCAAGGTCAGTCCAATCCTCAAAAGAGAAAGTTGCAATTTTAACTTTTTCTACAAGGTGTCCTCAGTACAATGTAAAATTTTCTCTCAGAGACCAGGAATCTAATAAACAAGATCAGGAAACACAGAAAAAAGAAGCATTCAAGTCCAATAGCATATTCAATATTCACAAAATGTTCCAAGACCCCAAAGTGAAGGAAAAAAAATAGGAAAAAGAATCACTTTAAATTAATTCAGACCATTTAAGCTTCTTTTCCCCACACTCACAAACGCCGCCTTCTTAGAGTAGCAAAATCATTTCAAAAGTGCACTTTAAAGGCACAAAAAAAGAGAAAGAAACCCAAGAGAGGGAGAAAAAAAAGTCTCACCCAGCTCAACCATGGTGGTTCCTGTGCTTAGATGTTCTTCTGACTTCTGGTTGCAGCGGCTATATCAGTGGTTCTCAACCTGTGGGTCGGGACCCAATTTGGGGTCGAACGACCATTTCACGGGGGTCGCCAAACAACGCAGTCCGCCATTTTTCCCCATTTTCCTTAGCTGTGCTACTCCCTTTTATTCTATTGGCTTTTGAAAGCCAATAGGAATTGTCCAGGCTGTTTCTGCCCTGCTGAGCCTGCCAAAAGTCCCCTTCTGCAAACGGTGCTGCACCAGTTGAGTAGTCCTCAACTTACGACTGGTTGAGTAATCCTCGACTTACGACCGGTTGGGGGTCGCGGCATTAAAAAGGTTGAGAACCACTGGGCTAGATGAATGACCATTTTACTGGCCGTTTTTTCCACCGTCGGCCCAAAGGAGCAATCTCAGTCCCTGGAAGAAGCTGCCACTCTCCCAAGGACGACGAGGACCTCCTCACCAGTAGCTGCCCCTCAAAGGCGGCTTTTCGACCCGATTAAGGGTTTACCGGCAGCGGAGGATCAGCTGGCAAGGAGAGCCGTCTCCTTGCACAGCTGTGAGCGCCGTGATCCGGAACCAGAAGTCTCTTAAAATAGGTTCTTATTCTACCTTGATGAGTTAACAGAGTCTTCCACTATGTTTTCTGCTAGCTATAGAATTTGGTTTGTCTCCAACCCATGTATAGTATATTCCAATAACCCAACTGAGTGGTGACCATAGCATATTAGCCCGAATAGGGTTGCAACTGAAACCCTAGCTGGAGATGATAAAGGCTCTCCTGGCTGCAGTTTTCACCTGCTATCTAAACAGGAACTAACAATTAATGACTAGTAATACAGTATTATTCATTTAAATGTTGATTGTCTAGTGATGATTAATCTTCTTGTTTTAAAGGAAAGCTAATCTTCCCAAAGATTATTTAATTGACGATGGACAAAGCATTCAGGCTGGCTTTATCTATGACAACAAAAGTGGTTTAAAAAAGAAGGTAATACCTATACCTCTGGACATTATGGATGAACTAAAAAATCCAAATGCCAAAATTATCAGTGCTGGTCGTGTAAAAGAAGAATCACAAAATCAAATGGTACGTGTTATTTTCTTATCTTTTGCTCTTTAACCATTATTGTTCTTGTTAAGATTTTGTAAGCTGATAATATCACAAAAATCCAAATTTCCTTGAATTTATGATGGATCTTTCTTTGGGGGGGGGATAACTTTCAGGAATCTAATACAGAAGATGTTTCTCAAATCTAAAGCATGATCGGTTTGATTTGTATTATGCTACTACTGAAAGATGCATGTTACTTATATTAATGCAAGAAATCAAGTTGGAGATTGTGGGTTGGCATTACGAAAGTTATATGGTTGGAAATCTTTGGTAAAATTAGAGAATTAAATTGACTAGAAAATGAATTAATGGGGGGGGGTCACTTTAAACCCTGCCCAGAAATCAATTGGAACTTCAGATTCAGAATAAATGTGTATGAGAATTTCCACCAATTTATGATTGGCAAATTTACCTGAGAGTATTAGAAGGTATTTACAGTTGAAAAAAAGTGATAAATAGGCTTGTGGTGGTTTTGCATCAGCCTGGCACTGCCCATGATGGAGACATTAGAATTCTTGAAATTCACATTGTTTCTGAGCACCAAGTGGCAGTTTCCATAGCTGGAAAAGGCTTTGTACCAAAGTGGTTTTACATAAGAGGCACAGTGAAGCATTATCACTTTGTCCTCATACACAGTGAGAGATAGCAGGCCTTTTCAAAACAACTTCAAGGGGGGGGGGGAGGATCTTTCTCAAATCTTTTTCTTGCTAAGCTCCACTGAAAATTTGCACATCGTGGTAATGGATATTTGTCTTTAAATCAGATTTTGCTTTTTTTCCTACTCTCCAGATACTGTAATTAAGTAAGATTATAAATCAGCTACATACTGAGGTTTTTTTTTTTTTTGTTTGTTTTTTTACCACAAATGACTAACTTACTTTGCTTTTGAAAAAATAATAAATCAAAACATCCAACTAATACAGTACTAGGGCTTTTCTGGATTTACATGTGAAAAATTCAAGTATGCACTGTTGAATCTGGATATAAATTTGAACTTCTTGAAAGTTATATGAATGTGATTTCGCAAATTTAAGAAATAGGCAACAGATAGTTTCAAATAGTTTCAAGAGATCCAGGTATCAGTATGAGCTCTCCCTAAGTACGTGTTATAGTTGTGTCCCACCAGTTGGCATAAAAGTTTCACTATCTCTTTCTTTTGTAGAAAATGAGTGAATCATTTCCCATCTTTTGTCATGAAAGAAGAAGGTGGAAGTTTGCTTGGAATCAATGGCTTTTGTTATATGGGAAGAAGACACTTGATTATTTGAATCAGGATAATGAAGCATGTATGGACCTAAATCCAGTTCTACAAAATAATTATGATGATTCCACTGCAATAATCCAAAGTAGAAAATCTCCTCATTCTAATCTAAGAGCAAAGAGGAAGAAAAAACCCACTTTTACTAGAAAACCAAAGCGCATCACCATTCAGATTTTATCTTTGGAAAGGCAGCTAAGCAATCTTTCTGTAAATTCTCAGAAAGGGACCTCTTTGGTTCAGAAAACCCATGGTCATTTCACCAAAACAATCACCAGGCATGTTGTAACCGAGAAAAATATTCTTCAAAATATGTCCCAGCGTAACAAAGACATTCTTATGGCAGACGAAAAAAACCCTATAAGTAATATGGAACCCTCTCTCTCAACTGTCTCAAGAATAAAATCCTCACTTGCAGGGTTTTTGAAAAAACCACTGACTAAAAGTAAAGAAAGACTCAAAAAAAGTAATGCCTTTGTGGATTATATACCCTTCCCAAAACCAATTCCAGTTTGTGAGGCTCCAGATGGCTTGGTTGGCCATAAACTGCCCCTTTTAGTGGATTTTTCTTCGAGAAAGCCCAGTGACAAGCTATCAGCTGATAGAAACAGCTCTGACCAGGATCCTTTCTTAAATGAAACTACAACAACTGACATGGAACTCAGAGCCCAGCATCTGGAGTCTTCAATGAGAAAAAGTGGAGAGACATCAGGCAGGATGACCAGTTCATACTTCCTGCTAGACTTAATGAACGAAAGGCCGGAGTCTGAGAAATCAGAAAATGGAGCCATATGTTCAAAAGATGAGAGCACTGAAGACTCTTCTTCTACAGTGATAAGTATACCCACAGCACCATCTGATATGTCACAATCTCCATGTCTTTCAAGGCCTGACACAGGTAACAGCTACAGTGTCAAAGCAACATAGCGCCAACCTCTGAAATTGACCTCTTGTTGTGTGAAAAGTTTTCAGGACTGACAATAAATACATACACACCACATGGTTGATTAGATTTATTGCCATGTTATATCCTGTCATTTGCTGCAATAATTGAAATACAGGTAGGACATTGGAACAGTGGTTCTCAACCTTTTTAATGCCGCGACCCCCAACCGGTCATAAGTCGAGGACTATTCAACTGGTGCAGCACCTTCTGCAGAATGGGACTTTTGGCGGGCTCAGCAGGGCAGAGACAGCCTGGACAATTCCTATTGGCTTTTGAAAGCCAATAGAATTAGACTCTATTCAAGAGAGTCTATTCTATTGGCTTTCAAAAGCCAATAGAATAAAAGGGAGTAGCACAGCTAAGGAAAAGGGGGAAAAAATGGTGGACTGCGTTATTTGGCGACCCCAGTGAAATGGTTGTTCGACCCCAAATGCGGTCCCGACCCACAGGTTGAGAACTACTGCACTGGAATGAAGTACTTTTCAAAGAGGAAAATCAAGATATGTTGAGAATAACAAACAAGAAAAAAATGTGTATTGTAAAAGAGTATTTTGCAGAAGAATGTGGCTTCAAAGGATTAATCTTCTGCATTGCATTTCCTTTCCTTTATCCTTTTTTATTTTTCTGGCAGCTGGATGATGGGATAGAGAAAATTTCCCTTCAGTGAATTCGTTCAAAGGTGCTTTTTTCTTCAAAAAGCAGCTGGACTGTTTTTTTCCTTGAGGAAGAAGAAAATGTTTTGCATCTCATCTAAGAAGCTTCTTGGATGAGAAGCGAAACATTTTCTTCTTCAAGAAAAAAACAGTCCGGCTGCCTTTTGAAGAAAAAAGCACCTTTGTGACAACTATGACCTGGATGACTGAGAATCTCCAGACATTCAGTGGATTGTTTGCTGAGAGGTGTAAATGTTTCTGTTTCGCTAGCACAGAACATTGCACTCCAGGCCTTATGAATATTTGACTCACTGTTTTTCCTCCACATCTGGGGTTTTAGAATGGCTCATTCAATTAAAAATATATCTGGGCTTTTAATATATAGTGCTTTGTATACATCATTGTTCTCACCTCTTGTTGTGCAATGGGAGTTGGGTCTGCTCTGAGCTGGATCAGTGAAATTTCAACTCAAAGAAAGTTTAGGTCTGCAGGTTGTTTTTCTTTTTCTTTGCACTTTTGATCTTCTAGCTGCCTGCCTGAATTCACTTTTCCTTGTAAAATTATTTGTGTTCTTCAATTGATTGGATTAAAACAAAAAAATCTGGGTCAAAGGATTTCTTTTATACATCTTCCAAACCAACTTTTTCTGCTGCTGTGAATCTAAATCTTGCTTACACAGACGCTTACCATAGTTCTCAATTTAATTAAAGATTGGGTCACCATTGTGTATTGCTTAAATATTCTTAGGAACCTCAAGAGGATGATGGGAAAAAGGTACAGGTAGTCCTTGACTTACAATTGAGCCCAGAATTTATGTTGCTAAGTGAGACATTTGTTAAGTGAGTTTTGCCCCATTTTACTACCTTACTTGCCAGTTAGGTGAATCACTGCGGTTGATAAGTTAGTAACACAGTTGTTAAATGAATCTGGCTTAGCTATTGATTTTGCTTGTCAGAAGGTTACAATAGATGATCACATGATCCCAAAACACAGCAATGGTTATAAGAATGAACCAGCTGCCAAGCATTTAAATTTTTATCAAATGATCCTGGGGATGCTACAAAAGTCATAAGTGTGAAAAACCGGTCATAAGTCACTTTTTTCAGTACTGCTGTAACTTTGAACAGTCACTATAAATGAACTGTTGTATGTCGAGGACTGCCTGCACATTGATTTGGTTTGCCCGCTACCTTAAGTATGTTCTGCTCTACAAATGAAGATGACGTGATTTGGCCAGCCTTTCTGGTGGATACTACAGCTAGGAAAGCCGTTCCTAAAAGTAACAGGATCTCTCCGTCACCAGTCGCTCCCCCGAAAACCCAGGCCAAGCCTCACCACCCCCGCTGCAAACTCGCTCCGAGCTCTCGTTCTCCCGGGCTTTCTCCTCCGTGGCTCCGCCCCCTTCTGACGTCCCGCTTGCCACCATGTCTGCGGGCGTGCGCAGACGTCAAGCAGCTGGCGTGAAAGGAGAAGCAGCTCCCTCGGTCGCCGTAGTAGCTGCCCCAGCTCGCGGAGATGAGGAGCTGGGCATGGCGGCGGCCTCGAGCCTCTCCGCCTGCTTCAAGCTGCTGGCCGCTGCCTTCTACGGCTTCAGCTCTTTCCTCATCGTGGTGGTGAACAAGAGCGTCCTCACCAGCTATGGGTAAGGAGGCGAGCCCGGGCGAAGTTCTTCGGCGCTTGGCCCCGGTGGAAGTTTTAGGGGCGGGGGGGGGGCGGCGGGTGGGTTGCAGAACGATGCGTGCGGCAACCGGGAGGGAGACCGGTGAAACCGGTGTCGGCTCCTTCTTGCTTGAACCGCTGAGCGGGGAAGCTGCTTTCACCCGCCTCGGAGGCTTCTGCAAAGCCCCGGACCGTTGCTCTGGGAGAAAGCCGCCTCCCTGTTAACGGGGAAGGGCAGCGACGCCCGCTCATCTCTAGTGTGGATGCCCGGCAGGAGGTTTTGCCGTCGCCTTTAGCCTCTCCTCAAATAAAACCACTTGTAGGTCTCTCCGCTGAGAAGTTGCCCGTTGCCTTTTCTTCTCGAGGACAGGAATCTCCTGTCATATAGGTAATCCTCGACTTACAACAGTTCAGTTAGTGACCGTTCGAAGTTACAACAGCACTGGAAAAAGTGACTTATGACAGTTTTTTCACAATTACGACCTTTGTAGCAGCCCCCCCCCAGGATCATGTGATCAAAATTCAGATGCTTGGCAACTGGTTCATACTTAGATTGGTGCAGTGTCCCAAGGTTGTGTGTGATCACCTTTTGCATCCTTCTGACAAGCAAAGTCAATGGGGAAGCCAGACTCGCTTAACAACAGTGTTACTGTGCTAACAACTGCAATGATTCGCTTAACAGTCAGGACAAGAAAGGTTGTAAAATGGGGCAAAACTCAACAGATGTCTCGCTTAACTGAAATGTTGGGCTTAGTTGTGATTGTAAGTTGAGGATTACCTGTATTAGGACCTCTGGGGCTGAAATGAGTTTGCTGATTTCTGCGGGTTGAATTCGGAAGGATTGCTTGCGCTCCGCAGCGCCATACTTTTTCAGAGAACTGACTGACCAACTGACTGACTCAAGTAGTTTGGAGTTGCACTTGCCCTTCCATTCCCCTCCTTGCTTTAAAGATTCTTTGGAAATCTTCCTTTGACGTTACACGGTTTTAATTTGCCTCCATAGACGCCCTGTAGACACCTTGTTAATTGTTCTGTGTCCTTGCATCTTGACATGCTTCTGGAATAGGTGTACTATAGGAAGTGCATTTGTGCTGAACATGTTAGGGCTATGTTTGCAAGGGCGTTGGTTGCAAGGGCAAAGAACACGAAGTGCATCCCTTATAGAATTGTTTAAAATGAGGGTAAAGGTAGAGGCAGGCCATTTCTCCTGCCACCGGCTAGCATTCTCCGTTGTGCATGATTTGTCAAAGTTTCGACTATCTAGTACAGTTTAACATGTTTGTGGTTTGTTGCAGATTTCCTTCCTCGCTCTGTGTGGGACTAGGCCAGGTTTGTTGAAGTCTGCATTTCAGAAATTCTCTAATAGGGCGGGCAGGGGGAATTGGTGACAGTCTAGTGATTTTTCTTCCTTCTCTTACAGATGCTGGCCACCGTAGTTGTCCTTTGGGTGGGAAAGGCACTCAGGGTAGTTAAGTTTCCAGATTTTGATAGACATATACCTCGAAAGGTACGACGTGTTTCTTGTCTCTCTCCTTCCTCTCTCCTAAAACTAATAATTATTGGGATGGAAGTAATGAATAATCCTTTCATTAAGGCAAATATTGTTGTATTTGGCAGAACACACTTTAAAATGCATAAGAAGTTCTGTTAAATATGCAGAATTCTAGCCTTTATTTTGTATAGGATTATTCTCCTAATAGATGGATAAATACTAAATGTATATTTTGGCAACCTTCCTAAGAGAGGAGTAAGCCTCAGCGACCCGTTTTCTATACTTCTAAAAAAGCCTATGGAGCTTGTGGAGGAGTAGAAATATTCTCTGAGAAGAAATGCTTTGCAGTATATGCTGCTTCCCTGTGTGTATTTTTAAATTCCTTTTTACCTTTTAAAAGAGGCTCAGGGAAGTTTCCACACAGGCTTCTATTGCCTCTTCCTGAAGTGATGTAAAATTTTCCCTTTAGAAATATTATCACTTAAATGTAAAAGGACTTATTTCCAATTAATATTCTCTTAAAATACAATCCTCTGTATGCTGGAATAATAAATGAATGATACTATTTCTGAGTAAATTTTGATAAGATTTTGTTTCACATAAGTGAAATTTATTTGTGTCAGAATTCCCCAGTTATGAATCTTGAGGCCATTTACGTATTAAAAGAACTTATTTAGCAGACCATGGAACAGTATTAAGAGTGGCTGTTTTCTGTATTTATACTGATGTCATGCCATAGATCCTTAGTGTGCTACTAACGTACACATATGAACAAGTGACTTGATTTAAACGTGACCTCAGTTTATGAATACTTTGCCTTTACATGCCCAACATAGGTTGAAATAATAGATGTTCTGTTAATGGCTTCATAAATGAACAAAGTCTTGAAGAAAAGAAGGATGCATGTGTTTGTGTTGTAAATTGGATTTCAAAATTATATTTATCTGATGTGCTAAAGCCATTAAGCCACACTTAAACAGCATTGGGCTTTTTTTCCCCCTCTAAGGCTTCCCTTGTGGTGTGCCAGATGAAAGCTGTTCATTACAAAACTGTCATTATTTAGAATGCTAGGTCTTAAGATGATGTTATCTGTTCATTGAGTGCTATTTTATCCCTTTTTATAATTTTCTAGACTTTTCCACTACCTCTTCTCTATTTTGGGAACCAAATCACAGGACTGTTCAGCACAAAGAAATTGAAGTATGGATAACTTTTA